AACACAGAACAATATTATCCTAAAATGAGGGCAATGTTAAAAAAAGACAAAAAAAATATGTATGAAAGCGCGGGAACCGAAACGTTATTTTTAAGAATAGTTCACAACTAATTTCATCGGAGTTCATAATTAATTTAAATTAGTAATAGCCACAACAATCGCACAATTTTATTTAGTTTCACAAAACATGAAAGCAACCATTTATCTACACAACTTTAAACACTGGAAAATCACAACACTTATTAAGGCATAATAATCGTTATAACAGAAATACAAAATACTTAACTTAAGAATTGAGGTGTTTACACCGGTCCAAGGCTGGAGCGAAAGTGCCAAACCTTCTTTTTCTTAGTTCTTACAAAACCCACGACTTAAGACGACTAGCGCCCTCTGGACGCCATCTCTTAATGTCACGGAAGTTGTGGATTTTGTAGAAACTTTACAAAACAATCGGACTCGGTGTATTTGCATGTTCTTTACACGATTAATAATTATTTAAATAATGAGAATTATAACAATGTTAATTGTTTTTCGAAACCACACATTTAGTTAAGCGGATGTTTACAATTTTAAAAATAAACTTGCAAGAACATCTTATAATTTATTAAAAAGATTACTCTTGGTGAAAATTAGTCATTTAAATCATAAGTTTTTATTACATTGATAATTATTTATTTGGAATAGGGTTATTAGAATAACTTTATCATTTAAAAAGTGAGCGAAGTTCCGACTCACTTTTTAATTACAAGAAACGTTGAAGTGATTATTTTATAAGCAAAACTAATTATTTATCAGATAAACAAAAATGATTGAAAGAGAATACAATTTAAAATTATTATTGTAATATTTTATGAAATTAATAAAACGATGATACTAATAAAATGTTCGAGTGACGTCTTCACGCCGACATGTATATTAATTAAAGCCTATGTGATGTATAAGTTATATTATTCTGATGTATAAGCTATATTATTGTAAAGTTTCATTAAAATCCATTCAGTAGTATTTTCTTGAAAGAGTAACAAACATCCATCCATACATACAAACTTTCGCGTTTATAATATTAGTAAGGATTGAATAATTAGAAAAATTATTTTTGATCTATAGAAATTACAATATTAATTTGTAGTAAATCCATTAATTTTGACATTACATATTCAAGTGACTACTGAAAACCTTTTTTAAACAAAAAAGTGGGTCGATAATATTATGTTGTTTTAAAAAAAATCAGTTAATCTAACGCCATGAGCGCCATATATTTGTGAACCTTAAGTTGGTTAGGGGCCGATTTCAATATTCATCCCTACATTTGGTTATTAACGACTCACGGACCCAACAGGTAATATTTCGTAAAATCCGTAGCTGACCTCTCCTCGGCGAAAGGAATATTCCTACCAAATTTTAAGTCTCTTTTCTATTTTTTCTATTTTTTTTAACATTGCCATTACTTTAGGATTATATTATCCTGTGTTGTAATGAAGTTTTTACAAACATATATTTCACGCAGACAAACATCCAGATGCGAAACAATTATCTGTGGGTCACGCAAATAGTTGTCCCGTGTGGGAATCGAACCCACGACCCCTGACGCCGAAGCCAATACTTTGGCAACTGCGCCACGGTTCCAGAGATATCGTGATGAGAGTGAGATATCAATTAGGGGTGGAAATCTCTTATATATAATTTTTTTTTTTTTTTTTTAATGTGAAAAGTTGCCAAACGAGCAGACGGTTCACCTGATGTTAAGTGAATACCGCCGCCCATAGACATCTGCTACACCAGAGGGTTTGCAAATGCGTTGACAACCTTTTTGGAAATTGGGCTCCGGCTACCTCACTCACCAGACGAAACGCGAAAGTATTTGTCATACTTCCACTTTACGCCGATCTTCTGTGAGGTCGTGGTACTTACCCGGACGAGCCTGCCCATTCGTGCAACAGCCGAGGCTGCTGCGAGGCTCTACCACCGTAAATATATATATAATATAAATAATATAAATAATTATAATATAAATAATTAAAATTAAATAATTAAATAATTATATATAAATATATATAATATAAATAATTATTTGATAAATATTTGACATTAGCTCCATAATACTTATCTCAAATTTTATCTCCAGTAACCAAATCTATAGAAAAATGGAATACTGAAACCAGCCGAAGTGAGGTTAAAGTAACGGCATAAAAAAAAGACTTAATGAATTTCTAATTATACAGTTATTTAGATTGAACTATTATTGTAAACAAACGACACACTTATATACATATTATATTATATTACATAAGCTATACGTTTCCCGTCACGGGTATAGTAAATATTGGCTTTAGAGAAACTAAGCTTCCGTCACGATAACGGAGATAACGATCGTTTTATAAATACATTCGAGAGAGAGGTTTATGGCCGAGTGAGACGTAAATATATTATTAGAGACATATTAATATATTATATAAGTAAATATATATTTAGATACCAACTACCCCCCCCCCCCCCCCCCCCCATTCTAAGGTGTAGGGAATATCACGGCGCAATAGGTATCAAACCAACAACTTTTAAATAAGTCGCAACAAACTGTACTAATAAATTATTAATTAGATTAAATATGTCCCATAATTATAACGACATGTGTTCTATTACCTTTCAAATAAATAGTGAGTATTACACTGAATAATGAAAATATAGTTCAATATCCTTTGTATGGGTTATTTTTAGGGTTCCGTACCCAAAGGGTAAAACGGAAACCTGTTACTAAGACTCCGCTGTCTGTCCGTCCGTCACCAGGCCGTAACTCATGAACCGTGATAGTTGGACAGTTGAAATTTTCACACATGATTTATTTCCGTTGCTGCTATAACTAAAAAAATATAATAGAAAAATATTTAAATCGAGTTCCAATACACTAGATGACCAGACATGATTTTTTTGGCGGTTTTATAGATAACGATACGGAACCATTCGTGCGGAGTCCGGCTCGCACTTGGACCGTTCTATTCTATCAGATATCGTGGCAACCTGTTTCTGCCAACCCTTAAGAAAGTCTCAGTTGATTTATTCACCAGACCAAATATTTCCCATCTCTACCTAGAGCAAAAGGATAGAGCCCACCATACAATAACAGAAGTTGCTGTTTTTGTTTGTTATAAATTAGATTTCGTTAATTTACAACCACTTCATAATTCGTTAAGTATTAGTTTTTACTGCAATGCAAGGCTCTTAGGCCTTTTGGTTTCTTGTTTTTTAGGTCCCACAAGTGGCTACTGGAGGAGAGCTTATAAAGCTTATTACGGTCATTTCTTTTGTTTGTTTTTCTTTCTTTTGTTATGGATATTCTTCGGTATGTGATATTGGGATCCAAAGACGAGATTAGGCTAATTGAAATCGTTTGATGAGAAGTTTTCTTTTTGTCCCTACTCACGCAGGGTAGACTATTATACCGGTATTTTATATTGTAAACCGATATTTTTAAAAAAGAGCAACTGTTGAGTTTCTTGCCGGTCTCTTCTCAACAGAAACTGCTTTCGGAACCGGTGGTACCTTACGAACCTATATGTACAATTTTTTATGTAAAATTTGACGATTCATAAGAACGCGCCAGCGTCTATTTAATTATGAATAAAGATTTTTGATTGATTGATTGATTGTTCTTAAATAGCGTCTAATCTGGTTTCAATGAGGTGGCGAATAAATGCGCCAGGCATTGCTTGAATGACGAAAAAACAGATAGTAGATAAATACGTTGAGATTTTCGACGGCGTAGCAATCTACCGTTTAGCGTAGTGGTTAAATCCTCTCGACCGGAATCCAGAAGGCGTTGTTTCGATTCCCGCAGAGGCGAACTTTTAGTCAATTTTTCTAAAAAAATTAATGTTTCTATTATATATAATTTTATATATATATTACATAATATTTTATTTAGTGCAGAGATTAGCACTATAGAAATTCAATATAAAATTTAATTCTTTTTGTTTCTTATTCATAAAGCATCGGCTCAACGGATTCGAAAGCAATTTGCGTTGTGTATTAAACCACTTTATATCATATAGAAACAGCGAGTTATCCGTAAATGAAGGCAAAAACGGGACTCGAAAAAGCAGTTTAACGGCCGGTTACTAACTCTAATTTTGAACGCGTCTTTTGCTCCTAGGCGGGTATTCTGCAACCTTCAGTTATACTCGTAACTTTTATTAAATATTTTTCCTAAGTAATTAACTCGTCGTCTGACGCGACATATTTACTGGAATTTACAAATTTTTTTTAGAGAAATATGAATCATTATTTCAAACTGTTGAGTCCACTGCTGAACATAGGCCTCCCCCACAGATCGCCACGAAGCACCATTCTGAACCACCTGCATCCATTTACTTACCGCACATTTACACAGGTCATCATTCCATCTAGTAGGGGGTCTTCCTTCAGTACTTGGCCAGTACAAGGCTGTCACTCAAGAACCTTTCTTCCCCACCTGTTATCAGTTCTACGAGCTATAAAGCAGGCCCATCCCAAATTAAGCTTACTAACCTTCTGAGCTATGTAGGCTATCTTTATTTAATAGTTATAGTTAAGACATCAAAAAAATATTTCTGTGCTGCGGGATTCGATCCTAAATTTTTTGGTAATGCGCCAAGGCACTCACCAAGTGGACCACGGCGCGAAAATATATACTTTTTTAATATATACTACTTTTTAATTTGGCATGTTAACAATTCTTGGCGCCATCTGTTGAGCAACTTTACAGTGTGTCAAACGTTCTCAAATATCAATACCAAAGAATTTGAAAGAGAGATGTTGGCTTTGCTAGGAACGAAGGATGGGTTATGAGGAAGAAAAATAAGTGGATGCCAGAGGAATGTCGATTTAAATGTTTCTATCAGTGTGAAACTGAATTAAATATTATGTATAAATCATTTTGGTAGACGTGCGTGTGAATATTTATATGTGTAAAACAAATTTGTTATTATGTGCCAAATAAATGTTTCTTTCTTTTTTATTTCTTTAAAATGAGAGGTTCGCCTCAAACCTCTAAAGTAAAATGCATTGTTTTTCCACCTTTCTATTTGGTCTTTCTGTCTTATTTGAATATCGTCTCATAATCTAATAGACTTCCACCGTAATGTGCGTTGATCGTAATGTTTGAATCGCCGCTTGCCATGATACATAAGGACCGAACATTAAAATGTGTTGCAGAATGACCCGGATCATCCCGACAAGGTCGCTTGGATCGCCGGCTTAGTGCAGTCACGATGCGAACAATTAGCACTGATAACGTATCAGATAGCGGAGGCAGACGGGCATCGCGCCGTGGCGGCCAGTCGCCCGAGGGAGTCGAAGCAGGTGGACTCTCAGAAGACGCGTAGTTCCGCGGTACCAGTGATGACTTCTCCGTAACTAGCGAAGCCATAAGTGCGAACTAACCACGCAATCGGATTAGAACTCCTAGTGCGGTAAAATGGCAGACGGCAGAGACGAGGAGTATATAAAAATAGAACAGCTCTACGACGAATGTTTGGACTATCTGAGGGCCTCGAAGCATCTCCAAGCGGATGACAAGTATTGTTCAGAGGACGCGGAAGACGATTACGCAACGGTAGATCCTACTGCGCGAATAGAAGAGAGCGCAGGAGATAAGTTGACTGACGGTCGTAGAGGTGAGATGAACTACGAGGTTTCGTTCAAAGTGATCGACGAGCTGAAGTCCAGCGAGAGCATCAATTCGTCGATCCCGGGGGAGACCAAGTCGGAGCGGCTGAGGAGGCTCTCGCAGCAGCTGCCCAAAATCATAATAACCCAAAGCAACACCAGCCTGAATCTGCCACCAGAGAAGAAACTCACCGGTCGCCCGACGAAGAGTGCGCTTAAGAAACCAGTCGTTGACATCCATAAACTTGACATCCATAAACACACAAACAAGTGAGTGTTCTGTCAATGTTTCTTGTGACATTCATTGGTTATTAATTAATTAATTTAAACATGCTTACCAAGTAAAAACATTTATTGTTCTGATGTGACGCACTTAAAAATTATGTTTAATATTGTATATATGCATTTAAATTAAAGGTAAACACAACATCGAATGAAAGACTTCATTTTAGGAGAACAATAACAAATTAACAGTAGAATAAAATAGGAAAATTAGAACTAAAAAAACTTATTTGCACGGATAGAAAAAATGGAGGAAATAGAAGATTAAGAAAAAATTACATAATAGTTTATTGTTCATTACTACTGGTCAAAATGTCAGGGTTTATAATTACTTGGAAACTGTATAAATTGTTCTGTCAACCCCGATACAGTAATAGACGAGAATGCAATTTTTTTTTAAATTTTTTCAAGAATAATCACCGTACTACAGCGTCCACAGTATACTTGTAGAAATACTTCGATCGGTATGTTTAGTTGGCAACTTTCACACGTTTCGTACGTCTGTAACAAGTCGTTGTATCATAGACGATAACGATTTTGTATCCAAATTAGGTTCTAAAAAGGCCTTCGACCCTGAGATCTGTCGATTGTGATGGACTATATGGACCGTATTATACGGTAGTGGTATTAGAGTTTCCCATAGTATGGTTGATGGATATCAAATCAAATCAAATCAAATCATTTATTCATCGAAATAAGAAATATACATTACATCTATCGATAGTAATTTTTTAAATCTCCGTATAGATCCGATAGCTCAATGAAATAGGCTACGAAATTACTAGTTCTAATTACTGGTTCTTCATTACAATTCAAGTAATATTTAGTAAAACGATAGATACTACGTGGGTTGGTCTAATTAACGTAAAAGGTATAATAATATAGATATAATATTTTAGTATATTTTTTAATTTCATAAAACCCGACTTTGAATCGGAATTTGCAAATTAGTATAATGGGTTATTGAGGAATAGGAATAGAATTCTAACCTCAAAAATAAATATAAATTAGTAAATTCCTCTTTCGATAGGATGAAAAAGTCTGACACATTACATAAAATATGAACCCGTATTTATTTATTGTTGTATTTCGGTCGACGAAGCTTTAATAGTCTATGGACAGAAAGCAAAAACATCAGTCAAAGTAATAAGCCCGTATACAATTAATTTATTAACTTTGTAATATACGAATTTTCCACACATGATTACAAAAACATTAACGATGTGAAAAACACATATTTTAAACATACATTCATAAAGGTATACTGTATTCTCTTTGTTTATCAACAATATATGATATTAAACGGACACTAAATAAAATTTCGCTTACTAAAGTCAAATTAAAAAAGTCATAAATCTCGTTTCCCAACTGTCCAGTGTCTGTCGTAAAAATATTCTCAAAGTCCCTACGAGAGCTGGCTAATCTAAAGTCACACAAGTAAGATAATTCCAATCCCGATGCAGTCACGCGGATTAGACGGGACAATAAAACGCTTCCGCAACGTGAAACGTGTCACGGCTGTCAGGGGAAAGACAAAGAAAGGAAAAAATCATAATGTAAAAAGAACTTTGTTTAGAAACTTTTTTGTTTAAGATCAACGTCTTCAGTACCTCTGGACTTGAAGGTGCTTTGCATGTTTCAAAAGATGAAAGAAAATAAACAAATTCCTTTGTCTGTAAGAAAACTAACTATTGATTCGTTTAACTAAATAATTACAACCTCGTACAACAAACAAAATTTGAACTTATTGTCTATAGTCTATATTGTTCTATGTCAACTTTGGCATCGACGAAGTAATAAATTGAAGATTCCTTTAAACATGAGAAGAAAACTACATTTTTACATAAAGTATTAGTCAAGAGTGATAATACAGTCACAATGTAAAGAAGACGGCGATGAATAAATAGCTTTCTTGTTATTTACATACAACATTATTAATGTGCGCGTCAGCCATCTTGATTTAAGTCGTTAATTGCCGCGTTTTTTAATGTCAAAAGAATTCTTTTGACGTTGATTGTAAAATCTGTTATTAAGTACATTTTCATTATATTTAAACATCTGTAGCATTATTCTTTGTTCAATATCTAATGGGTTCCAGAACGTAAAAGTCAAATAACGGGGTTTAGAGGCCTCAATCGGCATCAAGCTATCATTGATTTTTCATAAAAGAAGTTCAGTCTAATGTTTATTGATAAGATTCGATTAGACATGTAAATGAATACAAATCTATTTAAGCGATAACTGACGGCTTTTGTATGGTCAAAACGTGTTGCCAGTTTTTATTTGAATTAAATTTTTGTTTAATATGTGATATGTGTGTATTTGGTTTGTACGTAAACAAACGGCAATCATATAGAAGTAATCTTTTTTTTTCTGCTTTCAGTTTTAAACACCAGCCCTCTTTCAGAAACAGGACCGCCTACGGGGAGTTTCCGAAGCGGCTGATATCCAAGAACGGGGCGGAGAATGTCGCTTTGATATCCAACGTTCCCTTCGAGAAAATACGCCTTCTGAACGACACCTTCCATACATTGGTAATTTGCTGTTGTGCAAAGGAAAAAGGCATAGTAACAGCGTATATATGTCCCACTGCTGGGCAAAGGTCTCTTATGTATAGAAAGCATAGTTCGGCACTTAACAAATTGCAATTAACGATTTCATTGGTTCCGGCACCAGAATTTGAATTTGGGGTGCTCGAGTATACTAAATCAAAAGCTAGCGCCAGGAAACAGAGCTATTGCGTTGCTATTATGATTAAAAACGAATCTCAGCCATAGTGATGGATAGTGACGAGTTTCTCTTCGAGATAATTCGTTTACGGTCTTTTCAAAAAAATATGGGGCAAACTGGCAGACTGTTTCTTTTATTCGAGAATGTAGCAAGCGAGCCGACGGCACCTGATGTTAAGTGATAACCACCACCGGCTTACTTTTGCAACACCCGTAGGGTTGCAAATGCGTTGCCACCTTTTAGTAAAGTCGGCCTTGACTACCTCGATCACCAGAAGAAACGCAGAAGTATAACACTTCCACTTCACGCCGGTCTTCTGTGAGCTCGTGGTACCCAGACGGACCTGCATATTCGTGCAACAGCGAACTGTTTCGTGGCCCTACCACCGTTGCATATCCCTACCACATTGTGAAGGAATCAGACCAAGAGCCGCAAGCTCGTAGTATGGATATCTTATCATAAGGTGATAGATAGTAAGTGAAGATCGGACCAAAACACAAGGCCCAGTAGCACGGATATCTCTAATTATTACCAGCTATAGTAAATGTCGGTAGGTTCTCAACCAGTGATGTGCCCACACCCGGTATCCAGATCAACCTGCGCTGGCGCTGGATCGTTATCGGCACGGTGGTGGTGCACTTCGCCATCTGGCTGGTCTTCGCGGTCTTCTGGTATATCACCGCGCTGGCGCACTACGACCTCGAGCCGGACCCCCCCAAGCGCACGTGCGTCACCGGCGGAAAGGACTTCGTGACCATATTCCTCGCCTCCGTGGAAGCCCAGGTGCGTGGACAGTTCAGCTGTACGTTTTAGTCTTACTTTAGAGCCGTGATGGCCGCCCGAATGATGAAAGTGGAACTCCTTTAGTCCGAATTGGTCACGTAATGGTTAAAAGTCGTCAGGGATTTTTAGCGATTCCTCAATACTTTTACACTAACTGCTGACAGTTTAAAATTCCGAGGTCATCGGAAATATTTTGGCGGCCCAAATTAATCCTGGAGATCGAATCTAAAATTATTTCAATTGGCCATAAAATATTCATAATTGATTTGTTAGCAGTTGGCAGCTAATTGACGTAAACTATATGCTGATCAATTCACTCAGCACTCTCATTTGATTATAATTTTTAACAATTGCGATGGCTGGTGATTTGATAAAACACAATAAAGTCATAATTAAAGCCTTTATTTCAATCCGGTAGTTCTTGTGGGGTATTTTAGACCTATTTATATTCTACCAATGAGCTGTTAAGACATTTCAATTAGTTTTACAGTTTAGTTTTACACGGGGTCGTTCGACAAACAATGCTGGTGGAGAGCTAATCAAGCATATATTTGAGGCATGGGAGAGTTTACACGATGCTCTGGGTATCTTTTATGATTTTCCCAATGCTTTTGATTGTGTCAATCATGAAACATTTATCAGGAAATTACACCATTACGAAGTTAGAAGTACTGCGCTTGTTCTGATTAAATCATACTTAAATAATAGAATTCAAAAAGTTGTAATTACTGTTGCTAGTTCTTCTGGGTCGATGATATCAATGGGCGTTCCGCAGGGCTCGATTCTCGGCCCATTTCTTTTTCTCATTTACATCAATGATCTTCCTTACTTTAAAGGGAATAAACACAATATAGTGTTATTTGCTTTTTACATTACTTTTTATCGTTTATATCAATGATTTACCTACTTAGTGAAAACATGAAATAGTATTGATTGCCGATGATAATTAATATTTAAAATTGAGAGACATATTGTAACACTTGACGTAGATTTACTACATGCTATAACAGAAAAAGTTAATTCTTTTTGTCTTCGAAAGGAATACATCCGTAGAAATAGAGGTGCTAGATAATAGAGGCTTCCTAGTGGTCAATTTGGACCACTATTAGAGTTCAAATTTCATCATTTGGGCCGCTTATTAGACCCGTGACAGCGCAGGCTCCGGGCACTCGCTTTCAATTCAATATACTCGAGCAAACTGAGTTCGAAACGCGGTGCTGGTACCAATGAAATTGTTAATTTTAATGCTGAACTATCACGTGCTCAGCCGTGAATGTGATATCGTGAGGACTGCATATTTCCGAATTAATAGCAAAAACATATTTCGAAAATATGCGAAGTCCGCCAACCCGCGGTTTGTTCGCGTGGTGGACTATGCACTGATACTCTCTGTACAGAGGAGTCTCAGCAGTGGGACACAGATAAGCTGTTACTTTACTTTTACTTTTATTTCAAAAGAAAATTTGTTTTAAATGATGAGAAAGCATATGACATAGCACGCATCTCATACCTCAACTTGAATTTCACAAAAGATCATCTCATCAATTTTTAATGCCCTTTCATTACGAAATAGATGCGATTTCGTTCAATTGTAAATAAGGTTACCGAACAATCGAGTAGTAATTGAGAGGCTCTTGTAACCGTTTGTTAAGTGCATACTTGCACTTCAGATTTGTGCCTCTCTGAATTTCTGACGATAACCCGGTTACATCACTCAGGTATAAAAATCGATCCTAAACTATTTTTCAAACCCTCACCGCTAGTTTGAAAATTTCGAAAGATTCTATGCAATTTAGATAAATACCTATTACGCTATTACATTAGATAAATAAATATCTTACGACACATTTTTACACAACATTCTCTAGTCCCAGAATAAGGTACTGATAATTCAATACAACTGTTACTAGTTTAAAAAAATTCATGTACAATAATTTCTTTAAAAACAGTTAGCCTTATTGAGGAGTCTCTTACTTCCTTGTTACTTAATTGAATTTTTTTTAAAATTTTTTATACCACAAGAACTACTATAATACTAAAATATAATAATATAAATACTTCACTACTAAAATTACTACTTTTCTGTTTATTGTCTAACGCTTTCTCTACTGAACATATAATTCTATACCAAAATTTTCTAATAGTGAAAACTTTTAATTGGCCTGTAATTTTGTTAAATTTGATCGAACAATGACTGTTCTAGCTGTAAGTTTTCTGAAAATATCTAAAATAAATATACTTAGACATACTTTTCTTTAGTAAATAAATAAATATTATGAATATATAACCACCAAGACACTGGAAAAGCTCTATATTCATCACATATTTTTCCAGTAGTGGGGATCGAACCCACACCCTCTGGCGCAAGAGGTAGGCGTATATGTATTATATACATATTAATCTAAAAGAAAAACCATTTCATTTATGAAATTTAAGATAACATCATCAAATCAAATCAAAATCGTTGATAATTGATTTACACTGGATACTTTACAAAGCTAGCAGTAAATAACTTAAAATTAAACGTATATTAGTATAACAATTACTTAAGATGAACACCATATCGGCTTAAAGAAATACACACACGTACAAATAAAACCATCATATAAAATCAACAATAACTTGAAGTAAATTTAACAAAGTAGGCTGTGCGAGGCAGTCAACACAATAACTTAGTGAACATCGTTCAAAATAACTCCTGCCTAACCCTGAATTTGGATGGTGCTGATCCCGGGTTCCGCATGATAAACTGCATCTGAATAAGCCACATTGATTGGATAATGACCCACTCGTCTATTGTCAGCATCTTGACGACAGTTCACACGGCGAGGCTTCGGCCACACTACATCGAGATCTTACTACGCAACTGTGGAACGTCACGACATTTCTCTGTGGCAGGAGCACGCAACAGGCCGCTGTTGCACGAATGCGCAGGTCCATCCGGATACCACTACCTGGGAGAAGTGTTATACTTCTGCGTTACGTCTGGTAAGTGAGGTAGCCGCGTTATTGAAAGGTGGCAACGAATCTGCAACCCAACGAGTGTTGCGAATATGGGCGGGGATTATCGTTTAACACCAGGTCAACCACCAGCTCGCTTACCACCTTCTCTCATAAAAAGGTGGTAGTTTTTTTGACGTTCAATAAGAGCTTAAGTTAAGCCTTTATTGAATAAACAAATTTTCACTTTGACTTTGAAAAAAAAATTTGAATGTTAATATCAAAGTTGACAAGCGAGCTAGCAGTTTACCCGACGGTAATAGGCTAACGCATCTCACGGACAAAGGAATTGCAGATGCGTTACAAACCTTTAAAGAATGTGGACCCCAGTTACTTCACCCAAGGGACGAAAAGGAAAGTATATTACTTCCACTTCAAGCCTAACACAGAAGACTGTAGTAATTCCCCGGACTCGGCTGCCCGTTTGAGCAACAGTAGCTTTTTTTTATTTGTAAAGTTGCCAAACGAGCAGACGTTTCACCTGATGTTAAGTGAATACCGCCGGCCACGGACATCTGTTACACCCGAGAGTTCCAGATGCTTTGACAACCTTTTGAAAATTGGGCTACTGCCACCTCACTCACTAGACGAAACGCGAAAGTATTATACTTCCGCTTTTACGCCGGTCTTCTGTGAGGTCGTGGTACTTACCCGGACGGGCCTGCCCATTCGGGCAACAGCCGAGACTGCTGCGTGGCCCTACCACAGTAAATAAAAGTAAACTAACAACCTGTACATGTCCCACTGCTTAGCAAAGGCCTCATGTACAGTTGTGGGTTTTAGGGCATAGTCCACCACGCGACCCCACTGCGAATCGGCGAACTTCACATATCTTCTAAACATTTATTTTGTTATCATTTCGAAAATGTGCAGCTTTCCTCACGATGTTTTCCTTCACCGCTGAGCACGTGATATGTCAGCACTTTAAATTAACGATTTCATTGTTGCCGGCAACGGGGATCGAACTCGGGTTGCTCGAGTAAATTGAATTAAAAGCGAACGCCCGGACATTGAGCTATCACGGCTATCCTAAGGGTAGGTACTAATCTAGCTAATGATACTCAAAAAATACTACTAGCCCTCGTGCCTGCTTCTGTTACAATGACACACTTATGAGATATTTTTTGTTCACTCCATCTATAAGTAATAAATAAATATTTAGGACACATTTTATCTAGTCCCAAACTAAGCAACGCTTGTACTATGTGGTACTAGACAGCTGATAAACACACTAAAACATACTTTTCTTTTGTAAATGTACATATTAACATAGTACAACAACCAGACACGGGAAAAGTACTATATGTTCTTCACACAATATTTATCCAGTAGTGGGGATCGAATCCACACCCTCTGGCGCAAGAGGCAAATTTACTCCACCACGCCAATCGGGTCGTCGTCTATATTCGCGTAGGTTGAAAGCACAGGACGTCAGATCAATCTATTCATTAGCTAAATGAAAATTACAGAATAAGTGCGTACACAGAAACGTGTCCCATTAAGCAAAGCGCCGTCGCAACGGATGCAGCGGCGACGTCAATCTCCCTGATTGGGACAAATTGCCCGACTCTTTCACAACAATGTGGGGCGTCTCGTTGCGGTCGTTTCCTTAATTCTCACCAATTACCGTCCCACTGCTTGTCTAATATGGAAAAAGTCGAGTGGAGACAGTAACATTTTCTGAGAGATTTCGAAATAGCGTAGCCCTCGTTTGTTACTATGGAAATGGGTTTCGACAAATCATAATTTGCATTGTGTATCCGATTTTGATTAGTCCGTTGCATGAATAAAAGTTGTGTGTACATACGTCAATGATGTTTAATAATATAATCATTGCCCATACTGCGATGCGCTTAAAAATTGTTCCGCTTTGCATTATCATTGACATAGTAATTATAGAAGACCTAAATGTGACAGATGATATAGAACGCACGATACGGAAAGAGATAGCAGTCTATAGAATTTCGCCAATTGGTGAAGCAGTTTCGGTACGATAGTCTCATATTATTGACTTATGTACGCACGTAAGAAGTTATAATTCTTAAGCATAACAAAAGAAAATGTTTGTTTGTGAAAAAAGTCATTAAATGCAAATCATGCAAATGGTTTAATTAAATAACTTGGAATTATAGGTGAATTTCAAAAAGTTGTGACTGGTTGCCATGGTAATACCGTGAAGTTAGTCGCTTTACAACAATATTCATCATGTCGCGTGATTTCTATCAATGTGCGCGCGCATCGTTAAATTTTACTCACCTAATTTTTTCCAAATTATCCATAAGAACTATAATTTCAATAAGATGAATTTCTAATCCATCCGATATATCATTAGATTTATAAATGTAAACAAATAATTAAATGAACGCCGTCTAGTAAGAATAAGAACAGCATAACACTATAATTTTATTTTGCTTGGTTTTGATTTTATGGTTTCAAAATAGATGACACTGTTGCTAATTATGCTAAATCTTTGTGATACTATTTAAAATTTGATATTATATTAACTACTAACTTTATAGTAACATTTTCAGACAACAATTGGATTTGGAGATCGCGCCATTGATGAAGAATGTCCAGAGTCAATATTCCTGTTCATTATGCAGGTATATAACCATAGTATAAATATATTAATTTAAAATCGTCACGTTGAAAAGACAAATAAAGATTTATATCGTCCAGGTTCGATTATTTACATATCACAAATATGAATTAATGATACATATTTATCTGACTATCGAAATATCTATTAAATATATAAACTCAAAGTACTGGCCAGTTTTTGAGAAAAAATATTCATTGAATTGCTAATAGCGCCACCTATCTAAAGTCACGTGAATTAATGTTTTACCTGTAAAGGGCAAGTTCAACACATTAATAAAAGATACTCTGACATAAAATTGTCAATGAAAATCAAATATACTAACTGGCCGTTATTAATTGAAACTTGATTTTTGGGTATAGTTCAGAATCATTTTAAGTTGCAGATCATGATTTAATGTAAATTAGACCGGCGTAAAGTAGAAGTGTTAAACTTCTGCGTTTCGTCTGGTGAGTGAGGTAGCCCGGGGCCCACATTATTAAAAGGTGGCAACTCAACTGCAACACTACGGGTGTTGCAAATGTCCATGGGCGGCGGTTATCACTTAAAATCAGGTGAACCGCCAGCTCGTTTGCCACTTTGTCACGTAAAAAATACGATGGTTGCAATTGTTGCAGCTAATACTGGGCACCGGGCTGTCCGGAGTGCTGACCTGCGTGGTGTACGCTAAGCTCACCAGGCCAGAGAAATTGTCCCGCGACGGCGTAGGCTTCAGCAAGAAAGCCGTTGTGAGTGCTATGAATCAAAAACGTTTTGGAAGATTCGCGGCAGATCCTGTTTCAATACGAACTGGCTTGCCAACAAATTCACGGCTATCATAAGACAGAAGTATTTATGTTATAGCATTTTGCACATGATTGAGGTAGTCGGGGCCCACACGAATGCTACCCCACGAGTATTGTGAGTATCGGAAGAGTGTACAAATTACTACAAATGCAAATTACTTTATTAAAAAAAAAAGTGATTGAAGATTGAAAAAAAGTGAGTGATTAGTTAATTAATCGATTACTTCTATGGACATGCACAAGCGTCATCTTCTCGTTAGTTAAATATTCTCACACGAACAAAAATCGTATCCATACGATTTACAAAAAAAATTTGTTGACGTGTTCTTATTTGGTGTATGCTTATTACTCCATGACTGCATTAATGTTTACCATTAAACCTAAAAAAGTGCAGCAATAACATGACCTCCTCATGTACATGATTTTATACTTGATTCTCTTGGAACAATAACTTGAATAACTAAAGCGCCATCTAGTAGCACGTATAATTTAATGAAAATTTAAGTAAGGTGTTTTACATATTATATACATTTTATTTAGATTTTATTTATTTCATTTTCAATCAGTTCTGAACACGTGCATTTGCCAATGAAAGCTTATCAGTTTTATTTATGATAAATTTTCTTCCCATTTCCTCCATAATCTGTGACTATATTTCTAAGGTTTTGGGTTATCGTAAATTGATCTATGACGGGTAAAGTTGTAAATAGACTAACGCCCGGTTTCTGAAACACTGATCATCGTAGATGTCAACTAATCAGCTGTCAAATAGATTTCAAATTAAAATTTACGTACCAAAAGGATGGTTAAACTCTCTGAATTGACCAGAATGATCTTCTTTATGATCAGAATGATCAATTCAAAGAGTTTAAACATCCTTTTGGCAACTAAAATGAAATTTGAAATTCATTTGACAGCTGATTAGTTGACATCTACGTTGATCAGTGTTTCAGAAACCGGGCGTAAGAGCAAGACGAGAATACCATCAGGATATAGAAAAACATTTACTTATTACAGTTAACGATGCCGATACAGTGATACTTTGTAATATAAGGTCGTTCCAGTTGGGTTCCAGTAGCTTGCACTGACGAGGTTCTTTTCACGACTCCCTTACTACAAAAACAAAAAAAAAAATTAAATTATACATACCCGATGACCTACATAAGTGTAATACATCTAATTTACGACAGGTCATATTTGGGGCTAAATTAGATGCATTAAAGTAGCTAAGTTATTTCTGTCCAATCGAGAATAGTTAAAAGGTGTCATAGCTTGTAGGTAACTATGTCAGACTATGATAAACTTCTAGTTCTATGAATAACTTAAGCTTTGCAGGTGGATGGTGGGTGGTGGCAGACCTTGCTCATAGCTGTCCCAATCTTGATCGATGGTATTCATAAAACCCGCGAGATGTATGTAAAATTGCTAAATACACCAGAATCACGACCAAGCACAATTTGGTTGTCTTGTTAGAAGGTGACAGGAGCTGGGGGTTCACCTGATGTTAAGTGCTAACTGCCGCCCATTGACATTTGCCACACCCGTAGGGTTGCAGATGCGTTGCTAACATGATTGCTAACTCACTCACCAGACGAATCGTGAAAGTATAACTTCTACTTCGCGTCGGTCTTCTGTGCGGCCGTGGTACTTCCCCGGATGGAGCTGCCCATTCCTACAGCGGCAGAAGCTGTTGCGTGACCCTACCACAGTGATCCAATTGGAATCCGGAAATCCTACTACTCATTCTGTAGATTATCCCCTAACTGTATTACACCTACCATGATTTCTCCTAACGCCCCGGGTTGACTGGTAGAGAATGCCAATCGGCATAGAGTCCGCCCTTTGTAACCCCTTTTAAGGCGTTTCAATAAAGAATAAATAATCGAAATAAAGAAGTTATATATCGAAGCCCCTTTAACTCCTTGAGGAACACCTTTAACAGATCAACCGTTTACCACTTACGTTATCTACCAACAAACGGTAAACTCCTAGATCATACAACGCATTCTATAGCATAGGATATTATTGCTTTCAACTCCTTAGACTTATTCTGATCGACCGTCACCACTATGTTACTTACGTTATTTACCAAAAAGCGGTAAACACCAAGATCTCGCAACGTATTCTGTATGGTAGGATATATCGGTCTCAACTCCTTGAGCGACACCTTTAGTCGATCAGCCGTTTACCACTTACAATATTTACCAAAAAAAACGTAATTATGTATGGTAGGATATATCGCTTTCAACTCCTTGAGGGACACCTTTAGCCGATCAGCCGTTTACCACTTACATTATTTACCAAAAAAACATATTATGTATGGTAGGATATATCACTCTCAACTCCTTGAGGGACACCTTTAGCCGATCAGCCGTTTACCACTTACATTATTTACCAAAAAATCGAATTATGTATGGTAGGATATATCGCTCTCAACTCCTTGAGGGACACCTTTAGCCGATCAGCCGTTTACCACTCACATTATTTACCAAAAAACCGAATTATGTATGGTAGGATATATCGCTCTCAACTCCTTGAGGGACACCTTTAGCCGATCGACTGTTTACCACACACGCTATTTACCAAAAAACAGTAAACTACCAGCACGTTGGCTATAAAACCGCTTCGCTATAAAATCGCTTCCAGATCAGCTTGCGCGACGGGAGGCTGTGCCTCATGTTCAGGGCCTGGGACCTGAACTACGACCACATCATCAGCTCGGAGTTCAACGCGCATTTCGTCCATACACATCGGTAAGTAATATTCGAGTGGAAATTATTTAACTGTGGTAGGGCCACGCAACAGTTTTCACTGTTGCTTGTAAGGGCAGGTCCGTCCGGGTAATTACTACGACCTCACCGAAGACCGGCGTAAAGTAGATGTGTGTTTCGTCTGGTGAGTGAGGTAGCTGGGGCCCACTTTATTTAAAGGTGGCAACGCATTTGCAACCATACGGGTGTTGCATGGGTGGCTGTTATTATTTAACATCAGAACCGCCAGATCGTTTGCCACTTTTCACATTAAAAATGTAAGAGAATTCAATGTGTACTCACCCTTTAATGCACTTTTATCTATTCTATATCATCATCATCCTCAGCCTGTTTGAGTCCACTGCTGAACATAGGCCTCCCACGCAGACTGCCACGAAGCACGATAGAGCCTGCATCCATCGACTTCCCGCACATTTGCACAGGTCGTCACTATTTGTATGAAACTATGTCGATCGTGTATGTTTGTGTGCTTTTTTTGTGTAAGAATTTCGGCTCGTTTGACACAAACGAGGTAAGGTCCTGGTAGAGTCCTCTCTAGCAGAGGTTATAATTTTCCATGGAAGCCGGTATTTGGTTTTTTAATTAAATACTGGCGGATGCCCAGTGGTAGACCATAAAAATAATTTAAATTATAAGTTTGAGCAATCTAAATCTATTCTCAAATACAATACACAATAAAGATAAGAGTACATATCCGGGTGTGTCAAATACATGGTAGTGTGTGTAATGTTTTCTATATTGATTTAATTATTTTATTTATTATTATATTAGCATTCTGCACTCCTCTATATAAACTATAAGTGTGGGAAATTTTGTACTCCTCCGTCCGCGCAATTTTCGTAAAAAGGAGTACAAAGTCTTTACATATTAATATATAGATTAGGTGCGTTGCACTTATTATCGCATAAAAATGTCTGCTATTGAATGTTACCATGAGAGAAATGTGCAAGGGGTGTATTCAAGAATTATGTTATTACATTTGAATTATTTCTGTTTCGCATTTTTTGTGTAAGAAAAATAAGTAATATGTAGTTATAAGATTCTTCCTAAATTTAGGTAGAAAAAGTTTAACAACGGAAGTTTTTAAGCAGGTTAAATCAAACCGAAACTTCCTAAATGTTTCTTCTTTAGGAATTTTTACTTTGAATCTAGTGAATTTTAGGAGATTATTGTGGGTTTTTGAATTGCTTTATGTGTATTTTTTTAACAGCTGGTAACACTGGGTCCTATAACAGTTCTATTGCGTCCGTTTGGTTCCTTCTCTTGCATGACTAAACGAGGATGAAAATCGCCAGCACCAAGGAGGGTGAGTTGGTCCGCTACATGGCGCGCAGCCTGTACCTCCAGCAGCGCCAGTTCCTGCTCTGGCCGGTCACCTTGCTGCACGTCATCGACAGCACCAGCCCCCTCTACCACTTCACACCCCACGACTTCAGCGGCGGCAGGTGACTCTCGCCGATGGTCGTGGTGGCGCGGTTGCTGAGCCATTAAGCTCCCGGCTTCGACGCCGGCAGTCGTGGGTTCGATCACACGGGACAAGCATCCGTGCGACCCACAGATAATTTTAAAATTTGTAGGAAAAGTACGAAAAGATTGTCGCCGCTGTGGGAATCGAAACCACGTCTTTAGCATTCGCGGCCTGACGCTTTAGCCACCAAGCTAAACGGCTGTTCGCCACAAAATCTTTTCGTAGTTTTTGTACAAATTTTAATGTTTAATCTTAAGTGCAGAGATTAGCACTATAAAAAAATTAAATTTCCACAAATAATTGTTCCGGATCTGGTCTGTAGACTAAAAAAACGCAATATGAAACAAATAAAATTTTTTGGTGCTAAGCTATACACTTAAGATGAGATTAGAGAGAGAAAAAATTACGAAAAATTTTCGTCGCCGTGGGAATCGAACCCGCTTCTTCCGGATTCGCGCCCAGACGCTTTAACCACTAAGCCAAACGACTGATTGTCACACAGACGAAAATCTGCGACGAAAATCGTAAGTTATTTCAATCATTCTTAAGTGCAGAGATTAGCATTACAAATATTAAAATTTCTAACAGCAATGGCGACATCTACCGTTTGAAATATATTGTAAAACGATGTTCGAAATTGTTTGTATGATGTAAAGTATATAACAATGGATTTGAACACCGTTTTGTTTAGTGGGTATAACGGCTCGGCGTCAATCACGAAGCCGTGGGTTTGATTCCAGGCGAAAAACTTTTCTCTACACATTTTAATAATACCCAGATAACGGAAACAAGTTCGGGTGAGGTTCAAGTTGGAACTGTGCATTGCAGTTACGAGATAACCCTGAGCCTGAAGGGTGCTTCCGCCTCGATGGGCACCTTCACCCAGAGCCAGACCTCGTACATGCCCCGGGAGGTGCTGTGGGGCCACCGGTTCCCGCCGGTCGTCAAGTTAGTTCCGCGTTCGAATCCTTGTGGCTGATGGGCAATCAATCACTGCATAGTATAAAAAAAAGTATCCCGCTGTCTGTCTGTCCCTATGAACGCAACGGATCTTGTTGCGTTTTTTTTACTACATAGAAGAGGGAGGTTTATATGTATAATACATTACACCTGTGCGAAGCCGGGGCTGGTCGCTAGTTATATTATATACATTCACCGCTAACGCACGCATGAGCACATGCGTGGCCCTAACCACTGTGGAGGGCCTCAAACCCGTGGGTTCTGGCTAGCCTACCGGTTCAGCGTTTGGAGATTTAGTAGTCTCGGGACTGAAAGCGTTAACATTAGTTATCACAAGACACAAGATTATATTCTTTTTTTATGTGAGAAAGTGGCAAACGAGCTGGCGGTTCACCTGATGTCTAGCGATAACCGCCACCCTCGGACATTTGCAATACCGGTTGCAGATGTGTTGCCACCTTTAAATAAGGTGGGCCCCGAGGCTACCTCAGTCACCAGACGAAACGCAGAAGTGTAAATGTTGGTGTGGGTTTTTGTGTATACAAACAGCAGAATACAGCAATGGTTTTAATCCTGGTGATGATAATGAAGTACCACGACCTCTCAGAAGACCGGCGTGAAGTTGAATTGTTCAACTTCTGCGTTTCGTCTGGTGAATGAGGTAGTCCTACGGATGTGGCAATTGTCCATAGGCGGCGATTAATAATTAACATCAGGTGAACCGCCAGCTCGCTTGCCATATTCTCGAATTAAAAAAAAGTATCAGACCATTTCTTGCAGATACGACCCTCGCAAGCAGAAGTACGTGGTAGAACACGCCAAACTGGATCTGACTGAGAAGGTAGACACGCCCTTCTGCAGCGCCAGTGAGCTTTACAGGTGAGGTCATTTGCCAATCACTTGCATATCACAATTAGGATATTCACTGGACTGGGAGAAGTAATTCTCAGCATGATTTTCCTTTTTCAATTTCTTGCCATTAATAAAGCTGTTGAAGATTGTTCAATCAGCCGGGGCCCACTTTATTCAAGCGGCAACGCATCTGCAACCTGGCCCACTTATAAAAAGGTGGCAAAGCATCTAAAGGCAAAGCAACCCTATAGATGTTGCAAATGTCCATGAGCGGCAGTTATCACTTAACATCAGGTGAATCACCTTGCCATCTTCTCACATGAGAAAAGCGGTTCCCGGTCACTCACTCACCAGACGGAACGCGAAAGTATAATGCTTTCATTTCACACCGGTACACAAATGTGACGTAGTTGTGCGCCCCTATGTATGTGTGTGTCTTAATGAATATAACATTAAATTTGTTGTCTGTAGTCTTCTTAATTAAGTCTTTGTGTGAATCAATAATGTCATCGAAGTGGAAATTCTTAGAGGAGGCCTATGTTCAGCAGTGGCCGCTTTCAGGCTGAAATGATGATGATGGTGATGAATCAAAATCTGTAATTTTGGCTGCGTTTTTTACCGTATCCACGGTCAGCTCTCTTCCCCGGATATTTGTATTACGGTTTAGCAAAAGTTTCCTTACATATTATGTAACAAAAGCCTACGGTGCCGAGACGTGGTCTCTCACTATAGGCCTCATAAGGAAGCTCGCGGTCGCACAGCGCGCTATGGAAAGGGTAATGCTTGGGGTTTCTCTACGAGATCGAATCAGAAATGAGGAGATGCGTAGAAGAACTAGAGTTACCGACATAGCAGAGCGAGTCAGCAGGCTGAAGTGGGAGTGGGCAGGGCACATAGCTCGAGGATCCGATGGCCGTTGGGGCAGAAAGATTCTCGAGTGGAGAACACGAGACGGCAAGCGTAGCGTGGGTCGGCCTCCCACAAGGTGGACGGACGACCTGGCTAAGATCGCAGGGACGCGTTGGATGCAGGCCGCTAGCGACCGGTCGAAGTGGAAGTCAAGCCTATGTGATGATGATGATGATTATGTAATAAACTAGCCGTAATAGGTTAATATCCGAGTTCGATCCCCGGTGCCGGCACCAATGAAATTGTTAATTATAAGCGGTGACCTATAAAGTTTTCAGCGTTGGACGATTGTGAGGAAATTAACATATTTTCAAAACATTATTTCTAAGATATGTGAAGTCCGCCAATCCGCAGTGGGGCCACGTGGTGGACTATGCCCTGATGCCCTCTGTATAGAGGAGGCCTTTGCCCAGCAGTGGGACATATATAGGTTGTTACTTTACTTTACATCATTACTGAACATATATCATCAGTTCCAGTACATCCAGTAAGAGGACGTCAACCAGCCCTGGTACTCCAGGGAGCTTCAGCAAACAGCTCTCGACCTTCCACCTAGAGAGGACGTCATCGTTCAAAAGAAGAGAGAATAAGACGTAGAAGAAACATACATTTTTAAATTCTAATAAAACTTCTATAGGAATTTCATCGTTATTAATTTTAGCTCTAAATAAATGATATTCCGCATTTTCTGCGCATTCAAGGTTTAAGAAACTTTAAAGGTAAAATACTTTCACTCCCTGATATTTCCATTAATGCTGACCAAGATGTTGTTTTTTAATTTATTCATTAGTCTTCTGTTGAGTTTAGATTTAGAATCCAAATCTCTAAGAAACTGTATAATAGTTTAGTATTTAAAATGAGGAATTGGAATCATTGTATCTTGCCACTTATTTGTGTTTATAAAGATATTGTTGCAACAGTAAATAATGAAATAAATTTTCAAAATCACCTCTTTGTTTTAATGGTCGTAGTTCATCCATACTAATATTATAAAACTGAAGAGTTTGTTTGTTTGCACTCGCCAATCTCAGGGACTACTGGTCCGATTTGAAAAATTCATGCACTCTTAGATAGCCCATTTATTGTGGAAGGCTATAGGCTGGCACGATATAAAATGTAGTACCCTGGGGCGGAGCCGCGGGCAAAAAGCTAGTTTACAATAAACTGCTTACATCGATGTCTGATTTATCGCTACTTATATATTGTTTATCATTTATTTATGTTAAAGATAGTGAACGTATAGTGATAATATATTGTAAAATAAAGTGACCGTTTAATGTCGTTTCTTTAAATACAGAGAAACTCAATTGTGTTTTGATTGCTGTGTCATCCTAATCACTGAAAAATATTCTTATAAAACGACATTTAATGTTAATAATCACAATGTCGATTCCTAAATCGCTATTTTACTTATTAAATATTTTTGTAATAAGATTATTTTCATGAATTGCAAAGAGAATGTAATCACTACGTTTTTTTTGATGAATTGTTTCATATGACAGCTTAATTCTTTTTCTGTTATAATCCGGCGTCAAACATAGTTTCTAAAATAAATTTTATCAACGGCCGGTGCGCGAAAATATTTCAATTAAAGAAAATATTTAAATAAAAGAAAATAATATTTTTCTTTACATATATAGCCATGTCTTGACTTGTCCGGAAACGATTTAGGACCCTTACGCTTTAATTCTAAAAACCACTCCATATACTAACAATTTGCTGACAAATATCGGCCGAGAATCAAACCCACCCCTGTATTAATCAAACATCTATCATTGAAACGAAATGAGATAGATTCCCACAAATATTTGCCTTGACGAGTGAACGCCTAATCAATTCTAGGCCTCGCGAGGAATAGATCAAAACATAAAATCGCTACATGTGATTTATTTGTTCCTTATCAACGGCTAGGATAAAGGTGCACCTTATCACATGTCTGAGATAAGTACAGGCAGTTGCGAAACTAGTTCCTCGCTGTGCGACGCCACACGACCAGAACACAATGTCCAATAAACTAGAGTAGTCCGTTACAAAGATAAGTTAATTCATTAAAACTGTTTATGTGCCGTGCTATAAATAAAATTATAATAAACATGTTGTTGTGTCTAAAGTTGGTCACGTTGTGTGAAGATTGAGTGTTTATTAAATTCAGACGACGAACTCTCGTGCGTTCGAATCCTTACCGGATAAAGCAGTAGCTAGTCAAGCTCAGTAAGGTCGTAAAATAAAATCTAGACTTGGTCGTTGAAATGGAATACGAAGGCGAAAGACGGGGCAGCAAGAACCGCGCTCTGGAGAGGTCTATGAGCTATTCGGCGGCGATTGGCAACGGGTCCGGGCGCTCCTCGATCGAGATACCAGCAATGGCCAACACAGAGGTCTACACCAACGAGGAGATGAAGAAGCAATACAGAATATCGCAGAGCTACGTCGAAGGCAAGGAGATAACGTTCCCGAACGTAGTGACGAACGTGGACAGCAAACCGGCTGTCCCGCCGAGCGTAGACAGCATAGCTACAGACTCCCAATACAGCAGCGAAGACGACACCACCGACAACGGGCTCACGATGACAATAGACGTGGAGGACAGCCCCAAGGTGGAGTTGAGGCACATATCGGACGCCTCGACCCAGATCGGGAGTTCGAATGTGACAAACGAAACATACGACAGGATCGACTTTATAGAGAGCGTCTACACTGACGTAGACGACGCGATAGGCTCGGCCCACGGGTACTCCACACCGTACTCCAAGAGATCGAAGAAGTTGAGGAAACGCAGGTGAGTTGAGAAGTGGGGATATTCGTGAGCTGGCAAGTTCCCGATTGCCTTAAAACTTTTTGACGGTGGTAGGGCCACGAAGCAGCCTCGGCTATTGCACGAATGGGCAGGCCCGTCCGGGTAAGTACCATTAGCTCACAGAAGACCGGCGTAAAGTGGAAGTATAATACTCTCGCGTTTCGTCTGGCGAGTGAGGTGGCCGGAGGCCAATTTTCAAAAAGTTGTCAACGCATCTGGAACCCTCGAGTGCACCAGATGTCCATGGGCGATGGTATTCACTTAACATCAGGTGAACCGTCTGTTCGTTGGCAACTTTTCACATAAAAAAAACTTATCACGACTTTAACTATACACCGACGTTTGGCTATGTTATAGATCAGATATAGAAATTCATACCTCACTATATCTGACTCACAACAATTTAGCGACTTTTTTCATGTTATCAGATATAGAAATTCATACATTTCTGTGAGTGACACCATCATCATTTCAGCCTGTAAGAGTTCACTGCTGAACGTAAGCCTTCCTGAAGATCCTAAGTCACATGCGTCAAGCGACTTCTAGCACATTTACACAGATTGCAACACGATGTTTTTTTTTATTCGAAAGCTGGTGCTTCCAATGTGGTCCCATATGAATTTCATTGGTATTGGATTTGGGCTCCGGAGATACTTAGGGAGCTCCTGACAATCAATTATAAAATGAATACAGAGCGAGATATTTGAAGTCGATTTTGTTTATCATTAATAAAATAGACTTATTTATAACATCGCCTTTAATGTGATATTTAGTAATAACAGTTCATTTAATAACTTGATCTGTTCATTTTACGACGAATCTTCGTTGATAATATCCCGTTATTGCTCTCGTTTTGTAAAACAAGGACATTTACGCGTAAGGTAATGACAGATTAGAAATATTTACAGTGATTAGAAAACCACAAGTAAGTTTAAATACAGTAAGTTATTCTCATCGTCGTTCCTGTAATCATTTCAAATTAGTCAATACCCAATTTATATCATTCAAAGCGTTGTCAATTGACAAATTAATATATGTCCAAAATACTACGAACTGATTTGTATTTCAGACTAATTAAATGTTCCAACGAAACAGAAATAAAAACTATACGGCTAATGTCTGGACAAGTAAACATTTTAATGGATACAGAAATACTTGACGGCGTTATAGACATTTATTATCCTTATTTTCTATTTCGCGGACGCCATATTGAAATAATATATGCCAACAACTGTAACGAATCTAAATCACTACATAGTGTAAAACAAAGTCGTCCCGCTGTCTGTCTGTCCCTCATCATCATCATCATTTCAGCCTGTTTGAGTCCACTGTTGAACATAGACCTCCCCCACAGACTGCCACGAAGTACGATCCTGAGCCACCGGTATCCATCGACTTCCCGCACATTTGCACAGGTCGTCACTCCATCTAGTCAGGGGGGTCGTCCCACACTGCGATGGCCAGTACGAGGTTGCCACTCGAGAACCTTTCTTCCCCAACGGCTATCGGTTCTACGAGCTATATGGCCGGCCCATCGCCACTTAAGTCTGTCCCTATGTATGCTTAAATCTTTAAAACTACGCAACGTATTTTGATGCGGTATGTTTTAATGAGTGATTCAAGAGGAAGGTTTATATGTTTAATACATTGCACCCGTGCCAAGCCGGGACGGGTCTCTTGTACCTCATAGGTTATTAAAACTCTCATAAGTTGAAATCCGTCAGAGGTTTAATTTGTGGACGTGCCAAAGAATTAGGCATTCAACATTCGAAAACCTCAATCCCTTTCGGCAGTAAAACAATGTCATATTTTCTTTAAAATAGTCATTTGTCAACGTTAAAATATGGGTACACTTTATCTTATCCCAATTTCAGATAGTTATCATAGAGCTTATCGATTCCAAATAAGTGTAGTTTAAATCGACAAATTCGTCACTATTTACGCCGAAATTTTGGGCACGTTTCGTTTATTTCTTGTTTATATGTGGCAAATAAATAATTGCTTAAATAGTTTTTCATTCACGACTATCTGTTACACCGATATCCGTTCCCCGAAAAATACACCAAATTAATCTTTTTTCATGTCAGAAGGTGGCAATGAGCTGGGGTTGACGAGATGTTAAGTGAAAACTGCCGCCCATGGACATTTGCAACACCCGTAGGTTAGCAGATGCGTTGCTACGTTTTAATAAAGTGAGCCCTGGCTACCTCACTCACCAGACGAAACGCAGAAATATTATATTTCCACTTCACGCTCGTCTTCCGCGAGGTCGGGTTACTTCCCCGGACGGACCTGCCCCTTCCCTACCACGGTTCATCTTTATACATTACTAGCGGTCTGCCCCGGCTTCGCACTTGTATTTAATAAAATATTAAAAAGTAAAAATTATCATACACACATAAAACCTTTCGAATATTTCGTCTTTGGGGAATAATATTATGAATTTCTTCATCTTTTAATGAAATACCCTTGAAATTACGTCACGTAAAAGTGACAAATAAGTCTGGTCTCCCATAGCTTTGGACATAAATCATCTCATCTTTGGTATTTTTGTTGACCGATGTCGGATGATCTGATGTTTGATGAGCCAATGTCTTGATTTAAAGCTTCTCTAAGATGAATGTTTCACCAGCCCTCAGTCTCTGGTGATTACGACATAATATGTAATTCAATCTTTCTGATATCTTTTTGCCATCATATCGACAATGTATTGAATAAAAACCGGCCAACGCACACGAAGGGTTCCGTACCGACCTCACAGAAGACCGGCGTAAATAGAAGTGTTATAACTTATACGTTTCGTCTGGTGAGAGAGGTAGCCGGGGCCCACTTTATTTAAAGATGGCAACTCATTTGCAACCCTACAGGTGTTGCAATTGTCCATGGGCGGCGGCTATTACTTAACATCAGTTGAACCACCAGCTCGTTTGCCACTCTCACATTAAAAAAAAATTTTGGATTTGTTATAACTTATAGCAAGAACACATTGATTGATTTGTTATAATTAATAAAAGAATATCTTAAAAATTGTTGCTAACAAATTGTTGTTACATTAACGCCCGGTTTCTGAAACACTGATCATGGAAGATGTCAATTAACCAGCTGTCAAACGGCTTGTTAAATGCCATTTGAGTTGCCAAAATGATGGTTACACTCTTTGAATTGATCATTCTGGCCATTAAGAAGATCATTCTGGTCAATTCAGAGTGTTCAACCATCGCTATGGCAACTAAAATGAAATTTCAAAAGCCATTTGACATCTGATTAGTTGACATCTACGATGATCACTGTTTCAGAAACCGGGCGTAAAGGTAAGTACCAGCTATAAAAGAAAGATTTTTGCGGCACGCATAGCTTTTGCGGCGGAGAAACATTTTTGTTTAGTTTATTACTCGTGGGTCTGCTCGACTGAATACAATCAAGTATTACAAAAGCAATATACACGGAAAGAAAAAAAGATGTTGCATGTAAAGATGCATTCAGTTCATAGTGAAACATATTACCACTCTTAGTGTAGGCGAGGGGAGACTAGATGGCGCTGTGCTGGAAAATATTGCGACAACGTTTCGCTCTCGAGCCTTGTACACACCCAGCCAGTCAATCTATTCATCTGTATAATATAAACTTAACTTAATGCTAAAGCATTTATATATTTTTGGGCGTTCCATTTTGCGGAACTATTATGATCATTCTGATTACGTTTGAATTTAGCCATCCTTTTGGTAGCTCAAATCACATTTGAAAAGCGGTTCGACAGCTGATTAGTTAATTACTAAGATGATCAGTGTTTCAGAAACCGGGCGTTAGAAGCATAAAGATCCAGTTCCAGTACTCCAGTACGCTTTCGGATTCATACATTACTAGGACTCTTTGTTGTAGTAAATGTGTTGATTCGATAAATGGTCAAGATTGTGGTCACCGTCCACATCTTTACACCATAGAGGATAATAATAGGATACGTTATTCATGTGACATCTCGTTGCGTTGTTGCCAAGGTATTGGCTTCGGCGACGGGGGTCATGGGTTCGATTCCCAATCGGGACAAGTGTTTGTGTGACCCACAGATAATTGTTCCGGACCTTTTTTTTTCAGGTCCGCCGCAGCCCCCAGCGGCGGACCTGGTCTGTGGCTCCGCCGCTCACCACGTTTTGGCCCCGTAGAGTAGGGAGAACGGCGCACCGCAAAACCGACTCTCCTCTCCACCGCGGATCCACCACCACTGCATCAACGGTGCACACCCGCCGAGTCGCGGAGGATAGGGAGCGCAGCCAACGCTATACCGACACTCCTCTTTCCGCACGACTCCTCCTCGGTAGGAGAAGACAGGGAGAGTGGCTCCATCTCTACCACCCATGAGCTGTACCCTGCACCCTCCAGCACGCATCCAGATTGAGCTCGATGAGCGCACTCGGAGCGGTCCTCTTGGGCCGACCTTACACCACAGGCCGGCTCAATGTGGGTCCCTTTAAGCTTCACTATATAATAATTTACTATATTTACAATCTTTATTGATCTAATATTATAAGATTAAAACTATCTAAAATTACAATTATCTAATAAACCTAATCTACGCGGCATGGTGCCAAGAACGCTAGCTGCATTTCCTCGCTGAATAGTTATGCTTAACCTTTGAGCGAGAGAAGAACCAGCTCTCTTTAATTTATAGTCAATATTTAAATATGTAAGACATTTTATTAACCGACTTCAAAAAAGAAGGAGGTTTCTCAATTCGACCGTATATATTTTTTTTGTGTTCACGGTTAACTTCGTCGTTTATGTACCGATTTTGATGATTCTTTTTTTGTTGGAAAGAGATATCCAAAGGTTGGTGATAAGGAAGCCCGGATCTGATGATGTCATCGAAATCCTCAAATGTTATAGGTATTAACAATGTTTTTAGTTTCCGGTTTGAAGTCGGTTCTTTTCGGTACCAGTTAAATATTATATTCATAATTTATAAATATTACATTCATAATTCATAATTCATAGAATCCATCCGAACACGAGATTTTTGACGTCGGTTAGGCTTGCAGGGTACTTCATTGGGCAGTACTTTGTACCTTTTGTGTCTCTTTTTTCAGGAGACAGCCTGGAAGACCGATACGCTCCAGGAGGGTGGTCAACAAAACCGGCGAAGAGAATGTGCCCGTTCGTAGCAACATACCGGCCAAGTCGATAAAGTATATGCGCGACATCGTCAACACTGTGGTATGTGTGGCAGGGGTGGCAACTTGTGTGTAAGTTAAGTATGTCTAAGTAAAAATGTGATAATGTGGCAAGCGAGCTGGCGGCTCATCTGATTTTAAGTGATAACTATAATGGTACCCACTGTGAATTGGCGGACTACTTATGTTTTCTAAATGTCTTGTTTTTTTGTATTTACTTCGAAAATTCGTTTCCGATGTTTTCTTTCACCGCTGAGCATGTGATAAATCAGCACTTAAATTTAACAATTTCATAGTTGGGATCGAACTTAGGTTGGTCAAGTATATTGAATTAAAAGCGGGCGGTCTGCCAGACGAAATATACATACGAACTCTATATCTAAGAACTTATTATTTATGTATACGTTCTTATATATTTTTATTGTGTCAACAAATATAAACAATTATATAAAATTATTACTTAGCACAATATATCTCTAAGCTTCGGTTTGAGTGGGAGAGAATTTTGTATATTAGAACTAATCTATTTGCAATAAAGAATAAATAAATAAAATAAAACGATATACAAAACTTTGGTGTTGAGACCTGCCGCTAAAACAAGTAGTTTCTAATCTTTAAATAAAAAAATAAACAGCTCTGAGACAACATTCGAACATAGGACTTGACTTGTCCATGTCTGTTAAGTTATAAGTTCCACTAAGTTTGGTCCAAACATACCTGGCTCGCAAATATGTAAAACTTTATTTGAGCACATCTTTTGGAGTGTAAACAGTTATTTTCAAACAAACGCGCCCCCTTTGTATGGCCAACCTTGAAGGCCAGTTTTACTATATTTTTGCGGTTGTCCCCAACAGTTAGATTTTAGAACTAGTTGTAGAACTACTAATTGTAGTTGTAAATTAACAAGAGAATTCTTGTTAAATCCTTGATTTTATTTCATTTATTCCATTTGGGTTTTTATTATCCGTATATGTATTTATTTATGTATTTATTTCTATATATGTGTATGTATATTTTATAGTTCTTTATATTTACATATTAATGTCCCTATTTATACATACTTATATGTTATATTTTAGAGCACATTTATCAAATTTTACTCTTTATAGTCTTCATTCGGCACTTGCCATCTACTTTTCACCATGACAAAGTTGACTGCTAGAGAATGCCATTAGGCATTAAGTCCCCCCAAAATAGCCCTTAGTTTAAGGTGTAGCAATGAAGCTTATATAAATAAATAAATGTATAAAAAATAAGAAAACGACTGTGATCAGATCAACAGCAAATGGCGGTTCATCATCCTACTGATGATAGTTGCACACTTCACCTTCTGGTTCGTCTTCGCCGGCATCTGGTACGCGGTGGCATCCTCGTACCAGGACGACATAGGTGATGGGAAGGAGCACTGCGTCACCGGCACCTCGTCCTTTGCGGGGCTGCTGATGATGTCCGTGGAGACCCAGGTTCGTTTTTGAATATAGGATTTGCCTCTACAACTGTGGTAGCGCCACGCAACAGCCTCGGCTGTTGACGAATGGGCAGTTCCGTCCGAGTAACCACGACATATGTCACTCATTACATATTTTCCATTTCATTTTGAAGAGCTCCGTGATGTACCTCCGGAATCCAAGGTCAAATAGCAATGAAATCAATACGGGACCAATCGGAAGCCTTACTGAAACCAAATGCAACGATAATTTTTAAAATCAATTGATAAATGAAACACTGAAGTGTTTAAGTTAAATCGTGCTCGTCGCTTTGTTATGAGAAATATAAGGTACCATTAAAATTTAACTAATACATCGAATTTATGACTTCCAGATGACAATTGGATACGGTATTCGATACCCGAGTGAGGAATGTCCTGAAGCAATCATCGTCATGGTCATAGAGGTATGAGTGTTTTTAACTGAATACAATAAAATAATAGATACTAAAAGTAAATTTCTTTCACAGTGAAGAAATACTTATCGGTGTAGTTACTGAGCTGTTGGCTTCGGAGACGGGGGTCGTGGGTTCGATTCGCACACGTGAATAGTATTTTACGACCCACAGAGAGTTTTCGCATCCAAGTTCATTCTGGAGTAGGGTTGACGTCAGGAAGTCGGCTGGTTGCGCAATGATTCGCAATTTATGCCGACCCCATAAACGGGTAAGGGCAAGAGAAAACGGAAGTTGCACGAATAAAGTCAAACTGGCAGGCGGTTCACGTGATGTTAATTAAAGTCCACAACCTAAAGACATCTATAACACCCGAGGGTTTGCAGATGCGTTGGCAGCTTTTAAAAAAGCTGACGCCAGATACCTCCCTCACCAGACGAAACGCGAAAGCATAATACTTCCATTTCACGCCGGTCTTCTGTAAGGCCGTGGTACTTCCCCAGACGGAGCTGCCGGTGCGGTAGGGCCACGCACCAAAAGCTGGTGCGTGGCCCTACCACAGTGGTTCTTCTTTATCCTTTCTTCTTAGTGAGCTTGGCGTAATTTTCAGATAGTCGCCGGGACGGCGCTCTCCGGTGGGCTATCCAGTTTACTGTTCACGAAGCTCGTCAGACCGAACAGACACGTGTCTTCCGTCGGTTTCAGCAAGAAAGCCACGGTGAGTCCATAACAAAAGTCTTACACAATAAGTTAGACATAACTTTACACAACGTTATCTAGTCCCAAACTAACTGTTGTGTACAAATGGGTCCTAAATATTTATTTATTATTTTTATTTATCATATAACATTTCTCCATAATCATATCATACCTTTTTGTCAAAAGTAATAAATTTAAAGTTTTCTTTACATTCCATCACATTTTTCTTATCATCGCTATCAATCATGGCACATAAAAACTATCTTGACCTGTGGACATATTGCCCTTTCCAGAAGGTTCCATTGTTTAGCATAGTCGACCGCGGTGTTATGAAGCTAATGAATTGTGTGAATATGACCTTGAAATATCAAGCCGTTCTTAATTTACACAATCTCTAATTTATGTACTAACTGATGCGAAGTGAGAGGATACATTTTAACCAGGAGCTATTCGCTTTAGCAGCTTATTACAAATGTAATTAAAGTTAATTTTTAAAGGACATTGGTTTCACAAATGTAGTAGTCCCACACAAAATACTTGTACTATAGTTATTAGGTAACTGATACTGAAATGTACTTTTTTTTAGTAAATAAATACGTATTAAAGATACGGGTGCGTTCTATAAATATAAAATTTCATTTCATTGTCTCCATTATTATTCAAGATATCATTACGAAAAGTCAAATACGATGACAATGTTGAATAAAATCAAGTATCGAATTGTGATAAAAATCCTTATAAAATACAGAAGGACTCGAAAAGTTATTCACGAAGAAATTGTGGCTGTTTACCAAAGTCAAAGTCAAAATTTCTTTATTCAATATAGGATCATTTTAAGGTCTTATTAAACGTCAAAAAACTACCACTGGTTCACTAAACTAGACCAGTTCAGAAAAGAACCGGCAAGAAATTCAGCTGTCCTGTTTCTTTTTTTTAATTATATAAGTATATTAAATAATATGTCTTGGTCCATTTCTAGACACAGAGGTTGGCAAAATTAAATCGCATAATAAGAAATGTTAAAATGTTTTGTCATCCAATTATTTATGACTTGATTGTATTTGCAGGTGTGTCTTCGCGATGGTCAGCTCTGCCTGCAGTTCAGGGTGTGGGATTTGCTGAACCTCCACCTAATTGGGAGCACCATAACAGCGTATATGTTGAAGCCCATTCGGTGAGCTATCGCATTGGTGAGAGATATTTACTGTGGTAGAGCTACGTAACAGTCTTCGCTGTTGTCTGAATGGGCCGGACCGGATTACTACCACGACCTTACAGAAGACCGGAGTAAAATGGAACTATCACTATACTTTCGTGTTTCGTCTTCGTCGTTTCGTCTATTGAGTGAGGTGGCTGAGACTTTTTTAATAGTTGCTGATCTCTTAAGTCCGCAACCAACCATTTCCTCTAAGACCTCCAAAGACATGTATTAAAATAATTGTACATCACTGATCTATATAAATACGAATGGTGTGGTAGAAATCGCACAATGTCTCGTCGTATTTGCTTATTAGAAAATGAACAGTTATCAGGGGTTCTAAAGTATCTCTTACTTGTTAAAAGACCTTAATGCAACAACTGTCGACTTGTCTACAGGACTTTAGAAGGCGAGATTGTTCACAACTATATCCACCAGCTAACGCTGAAAGAGTCTCGCGCCTTCCTCATCTGGCCAATCACCGTGGTCCACGTAATAGACGCTGAGAGCCCGCTCTTCGACTTCTCAGCCCAGGATATGATGGATTACAGGTCTATTCTCTCGATGCTTTGATGCTAGGATACTAGGTACACAACCCTAGCTGTGTAGACAAATTTTATATTTCCAAAGAGTTGACATACGAGATAAGAAGTCAGCGCGGATGAAAGTTTCCCACATGAAGAATTATAGATGTATCAAAATCAAATATCTTTATTCAATATAACTATTACCGGTTTGGAGAAGAATAGCCATTGACCTGAGAAAAACCGGCGAAACAAACTCAGCGGGACATTTTTTTATCATTATTTGACAAGAAATATGTTAACAGAGTATTTAAGTCCACTTGAAAGAGCCTGGGGCGATCATTTCGTTTCCAGGGTGTGTTATCATCCTAAGCATATCAAAGAGAGGGGCTGTTCATAATTTTCCTAGAACCCAGCATAAATTCTTTATAATTTGTGCTCATAAATTTGTAAAAATATAACGGATGTAGTACCAATACTTTGTACTAATATGGAAATATGGACATGACAAAGTATTCGAAACGTTAGTAATAATAAATAAATAGTTTCTTATAACAAAAACTGCATGTTTGGAATATATTTTCATCTTTTCCACCGCTGCAATATTCTAGACTTTATTTTGTTATTAGCTTTCTAACTTTACTTGACTTTTACTTTTCAATGTAGTCTTATGCCGTGATTAAAAATGTCGTACTTATATAGTCAAAATGGTACATTCCAGATTCGAGATAGTGGTCTGCCTGACGGGTGCCTCCAAGAGTATGGGTACAGTGACACAGAGCAGGACCTCATACCTCTCCAAGGAGATCATTTGGGGCCATCGCTTTAAAAACGTTCTAAGGTAGTATGGCTTTTTGATATAATAATAATAATATCGGATACATCTTTTCCACAAAATTCTCTAGTCCCAAACAAAGCAAAGCTTGTACTATGGGTACTAGATAAACTGATAAAAATACTTAAACATACTTTTCTTTTGTAAATAAATACATGTTATACATATATAAACACCCAGACACTGGAAAAACACAATGTTCATCACACAATATTTTTCCAGTAGTAGGGATCGGACCCACACCCTCTGGCGCAGGAGGCAGGGTCACTACTCCCCATGCCAATCGGGTCGTATATAACTGTTATATGTCAATAATATTATATGTCTCAAGGGTGGTGGAGCCACTAATGGGCAGGTCCGTCCGGCGAAGTACCACGACCTCACAGAAGACCGGTGTCATTTTTATATGATTGAAATGGAAGTATTTTACTTCTGCGTTTCATCTGGTGAGGGAGGTAGCCGGGGCTCACTTTATTAGAAGGCTTCAACGCATCTGCAACCCTACTTAACATCACATGAAAAAAATAACTTTATATTCCTGACCCTGTACACGAAAACATTCATCCTTTTAATGCAAGCAAAAATTATGAATTCACAGAAAACTCTTACAAGCCAATGGGTCCGAACTCACGACATTGGACTGCATCCGCCATTCCATCCAATGGGACATTTAAAACCAAACCTTAACCATTTAAAACTGATCTTTTTAAAAAAGGAGCATGTGTCGAATTTCTTGCCGTTCTTTTCTCAACAGTAGCTGCTCTCCGAACCGGCGGTAACTTCAAACTTACGTGTCAATTATTATGCAAAATTCGACGTTTCATATGAACGCGCAAACGTCTATTTGAATAAAGACATTGAATTTGGATTGGTATTACACGAAGTACATAACCATTAAATCCAATCAAATATCTTCATTCAATATAGAAGCATACACTGAACATACAACAACTGTGAAACATCGCCCCCAGGTATTCCAAGAAAAAGGAGGCTTACGTGATAGATGTTGAGAACCTGAACTCAGTGGAGCAAGTGGAGACGCCCCTCTGCAGCGCCAGCCGACTGAAGGTCTTCGAGGACCTAAAGCGGTCGGACACTCCCCCGCCGCCCTTCTCGCCGATCCCCTCCCTAACCCCCACTAATGGCTCCCAGGACTCTACCTCCAGGGTCGGCTCGGTCCCCTCCACGCCACTCTTCAGCAGGGAGGGCACCCAGCGAAGCTTGGGGTGGCAGTTCAAGAGGTTCTACCCGGAAGGTCGCGAAGGTCAAGTTTCGGAGCAGGCTTCCTGATAAGTGCTCATTAAAGATAAAATGATGCTCAATAAATATTAGTGTGAGTTGTTAAGACTGAGGAAAGTCAAGTACTACTGAAGTTCAATTTGAAGATGGGGGATTTATTTATTTAAAAATTTATTGTTTACAACCCGTCCTTTTGTTGAGGCCAAACAAAAGGCAAACTTAATGCTAATAAACAATCTCTTCCAGTCAACACTGAGAGTAGTGAATATTAGACGTAGGTGTAAAACAAAATCAAATACTTCTACGGCAAAAAATAATATCTGTTGTATGCCAGCCCCACTGAAAAGAAAAAAAATTATTCCGTGTTTAGAGCTCTGTACCCAAAGGGTAAAACGGGACTCTATTGCTAAGACTCCACTATCTGTCTGTCTGTCTGTTCGTCTCTCAACAGGCTGTATCTCATGAACTGTGATAGTTATACAGTTGAAAATTTCACAGATGATGTATTCCTGTAGCCGCTGTAACAACAAATACAGAATCAAAAAACTATTTAAGTGGGGCTCCGATACAAGAGACTTGATTTATTTTCGTACGGAACCCTTTGTGCGTGAATCCGACTCGCACTTGGCCGGTTTTTGAGATTGATTTGCCAATCGATAGACTTCAATAGGTAATCGTTACGTTACTAGTATTTTTCGGTTCGATGGAAGTTTGTAAAACGACTTTATAAAACACGATTGTCTTATACAGCTGGGGGTGAAGTTTTTTTAAACAAGCGAATGATTTAGATAAGAAATGAATGACAGGCACTGTTTTAAAACACTTGCCTACTTCTATGGTCACGGAACACAGGTGTATCATCCTTGTGTGTGTGACATCCTTGATTTAATATGGACGTTATGTCACAAGATTGTACTCTATTGTGACCTGACGAAACGCGAAAGTATTATACTTCCACTTGACGCCGGCCGGAGCCTAATTTTCAAAAGGTTGTCAACGAAACTGCAACCCTCGGATGTAGCAGATGTCCATGGGTGGCGGTATTCACTTAACATCTGGTGAACCGCCTGCTCGCTTGGCAACATTTCACATAAAAAATATGTAGTTTTGAAGATTGTTGCTTCAATTATGTGTGATTTATAATTCGTTCTTATCATAGTAGTCTGCAGTTGTGCGGAGAAACTTTCTTCTTTGGAATCTATTCTTCCGCTAGACATAAGTTATTTCTTAAAAATTATATTCTACTTATAAATAAATGTATTTGTTATAGAAACGACATTCAATTAGCATAAGTTTTAATCCATCTTTTATTTGCATTAAATTTCGTATCACTTATTTAATTTGGTTTTATTGTGTTTTGCTATTGATTTCAACGTTTCTTGAAAAAAAGTAGAAAAGTTTATCGCCGCTGCGAATTTCTACAAATCTTTATGTTTCATCGGAGGGCGAAGATTAGCATTATATATATATATATATATAGAAATTTATTGTCGCGATGGTAACGACACGCTGTATATATATATATGTGTGTGTGTGTATTTATATATATTTATATATTAAAACTTTTTTTTTCCAAAAAAGTTGCAATTCTATTCCCTAAAAAACAGAACTTGTTGTCATTCATAAATGCCTCGTATACTTTGAAACGAACTTGTGTGCGTGTTAGTTATGATTGATGGCGCGTAAAATAAATAAGTTGCCCATAAATCACGTACTTTTTGAGATAAGTTCAAGTGAATGTAATTAGTTAATTACGAGTGATTTTAAATATTTATCATTTTTTATATAACATTATTTATGTCTGGAGTTTAATAAAAATTATGGATACACTTAGAAAAGTCTCCTTGTATGTTTGAAATTTAATATAGCAATAGCGACATTTATCGTTTGTATTAACGTTATCAAACTTATATAACTGGATGCTGTAATATAAAGGACATAACAATAGATGCGAAAGCATGTTTGGCATTAGTCCCCGACCAAAGCCTAAATATAAAATTTAAACCCAAACACAGGGCATTAAAACATACGGTAAACATTAAATAAAGAATTAATCATTGAAATCGGACAGCGTGTTAAACAATAATCAGGGAATTACTGCGAACTACTTTTTCAGAGGTCGGTTAAAACTCATATAACTTGCATAGCGTAGCGTAACTATTAATAGACAATAGAATGTGCTTTTGCATCTGCTGTCGATTTGCAAAGTCCCGGATAAATTACTATGAGGTCAAAGGACTTCAAAGCCATTAAAATGTTAAAATAAACTACACTCCACCGTATGGTTTGATTTTAATTTTATATTATTCCTTACTCCAGAATTAAACGCAATGTCACTCAACGAACTATTTATGACATTTAACATTCAGAATTTTTTTTAATGTAATATGCACATATGTACAAGAATAATGCAACACTAGCTTTTTTACATTTGTTGAGTTGATTTTCTCTCAACAACAAAAATATAAAATAACATTTTTTTATAATTTTCATTTTTTACTATCTGTCCGTCTGTTTGTTCGAACGAGACTTTCACTGACAGATAGCTGATGTAATAAGGAGTAACTAAGAATACTTTTATTTTAGATTTTTTTTTTATTTTAAATTCCACGCGGTCTATAAATCTATACAGATAATTAAAATTAGAGTGTCTGTTATATTCAAATCACGACTTTTTACTGAATGCGTATGCATAATTTAGGATGTATACACGGTACATATACCAAAACATTGTTTTTTTACAATTTTCGTCTGTCTGTCTGTCTGTTTGTTCCGGCTAATCTCTGAAATGGCTGAACCGATTTTGCCGGGCCATTCACTGTTAGATAGCTGATGTAATAAGGCTCCATTTATTTTAGAATTTCCATTTATGTATTATATTTATTTCTATTACTAAGGGAACGAAGTCGCGGGGACAGCTAGTAGAGTCAATATAATTGTTTCTAATACTTACGAATATAAATGCCGACTGATTATTTGTTGTGGCTGGTGAAGTGTGACGTCACTGTTGTTTTCAACCGCCCTGACGTCTGGTGTGACGTGTTGCCGATTCAGAGAATTTCTTCGAACACGAACGATCTCTTTGGACCGTCGCTGTCCCAGTCAGCGAAAACGGCGAACGCTATATCGTTCGCGTGTTGTGAATTGAGTGCAAAGTTCACATTAAATGTTCTTATAAATAGCCGAGGAAGACATTGGCGTAACACCTTTATCGTAAGCCAGATCACTGATTCTTTCTAATTTATTAGAAAGATAAATAAATAAATAAATAATTTATTTCTCATCACAACTAATAGCTTAAAATAATATATTATGTGTTTACACTTTTCGTTCTACTTCCGTTGAGTGTTGAGTCACAATTTAAAATCGCAATCGACAAGTTTGTTATTGCCAGCACCTGGAATTTAACTCGTATTAAGTTTAATCGAGTGTACTGAATTGGCTAGCGCCCGAGCACTGAGTTATCACAGCTCTTTTAGGTACCCACTAGCGACCCGCCCCGGCTTCGCACGGTTGCAATGTATTATACATATAAACCTTCCTCTTAACCACTCTATCTAGTAAAAAAACCGCATCATGATCCGCTGCGTAGTTTTAAAGGTTTAAGCATATATAGGGACAGACAGCGGGACGACTTTGTTTTATACTGTGTAGTAATACCCATTTGTATCTCTTTCGCAAAACTCGTTGATACTAACTGCCAAGTCGTAAATTCAGCTTTCTTTAACCGTTTCCTCCCGTATCGATTGCAACAATCCAAATTTCCCAACTTGAAATTAAGTGGCAGTAAACGCGGATGAAATACAACATTAAAAACACGTTCGACACATGCCTTACGGCCTTACATGGTCTAGAATATATGGTCTAGAATATATTTTTCTAGAACAATATATTCCTTATCAGGTTTCGGAAAGGGAAAACGTAACAACCCATTAGAGACAGCCCCGAAGGCTAACCTTCATTTGTGTAGTAAAGATAGATAATAACTGTAAGGATAAGGGAAACTATTTTGCAACGGATGTCTTAGAACGGTTAAATTCAAATACTCTAGGGCAATGCTTTAGAACTGGAACGAGGTTATAAATAACCTCAAAAAGTTCTATTATTGCGATTTCCATCATTGTCCATAAAGAAACTTCATCACGTTTCATATTAAGCAGAAAGAACAAGCTGTATAAAGTATATTCGGTCATTATGCATACGTATTTATACAAACTGGCCGTGATAGCTCATATTCAATATACTCGAGCAATCTAAGCCCGATCCCCGGTGCCGATACCGTTACCAATGAAATTGTTAATTTTAAGTGCTAACTTCCACGTGCTCAGAAGTGAAGGAAAACATCGTCAGGAAACCTGCATATTTTCGAAATAATAACGAAAAAAATAGAACTAACACTGTTAACCGGTTCATTCGCACATTTGTTTATAATGTCCTTAAATTAAAGACGTTTTTAAAATTTGTTATAAATAATGATTAAAAGTAAAGTAAAGTAACAGCCTATACATGTCTCACTGCTGGGCAAAGGCCTCCTCTATACAGAGGGTATCAGGGCATAGTCCACCACGCAGCCCCACTGCGGATTAATGATTAAATAATTATTTATAAAGATTATCAATTATGAAAAGGGTATATTATAAGATATGAAATAAATAATACCAAACGCCATTTTACTTCAAATGAAAATTTCCCGCCTTGAAAATATTACTTGACATAATTTGTTATGACGAAAAGAGATGGCCTTTAGTGGGTATAAGATGAAAGTTTTTTTTTTAATTTAGATCATTTCGTTGCTAAAATCTCCAAACATTTGGAAACTTAGAGTTATATAAAATATTTTACACGGTTTTCATTTGGCGTGATATATGTGTAACATTTATATTAATAAAGTTAATTTGAAAATTGGCATAGAATATTTCAAAATGTACTAACTCCAGTTATAAGACTGGAACATTATTGAACTATTCGAATTAATTTCGGGTAAGACATAAGAGCCTTGCAAGTACAGCCTAACAGGACTACTGCATAGTAAATAGGTATAGATATAATATATTTAAAGCGCTTCTTTCGATCAAATCCCAACGCACGCTCCTCGAATAATCTTAATACTTGTATACGCCTCCTTAACTCGTTCCAAACAAAAAAAGAAGGCGTAAAATTGAAAAAACAGCTTATAATTCATTTCTTGTTTTTACGTAAATATTTACTACCTATATATTACTTATACGTGAACCAAAAACTTTGTACCCCTTTTTACGTAAATTGCGCGGACGGAGGGGATGAAATTTCTCACACTTATAGTTTACTAAGAGCTGCCCGCGACTACGTCTGCGTAAAATAGGCTGAAGGTTTCACATTCAGACAGAAATACATAAAATATGTATATAAATTATAGCCTATGTTTTATTCTGATGTACAAGCTATATTATTGTAAAGTTTCATTAAAATCCATTCAGTAGTATTTGCGTGAAAGAGTAACAAACATCCATCCATACATACAAACTTTCGCCTTTATAATATTAGTAAGGATATGGAGAAGGACTGCAGAATGCTAATATTCTCTTAAAATTATGGTCGAATTTCGACCACTGAGCGACAACCAGTACGTATTAAATGAAGCTTTCACTGTGTTGGGGCCACGCAGCAGTATTTATTGTTGCACGGATGGGCAGATCCGTTCAGGTTAGTAACGTTTTGGTGAGTGAGGTGGCCGAATCCCAATTTTCAAAAAGGTTGTCAACGCATCTACAAACCTTCCGGTGTAGCAGATCTCCATGGGCGGTGGTTTTCACTTAACATCAGGTGAACAGTCTGCTCGCTTGGCAACTTTTCACATAAAAAAAAAACTCGACCTCACAGAAGACCGGCTTGAAGTAAGTTCTGCGTTTCTTCTTGTGAGTGAGTTCCCGAGGCCCGCTTTATTTAAAGTTTTATTTTTGTCAACGCATCTGCAACACAACACGTGTTGCAAATGTCCAAGAGTGGCGGTTATCACTTAAGATCAATTGGCCCGCCTGCTCGTTTGCCAACTTCTACCATTAAAAAAAACTATTTTACGGATTTTATCAATAATTGAAAAATAAGCTTTGTAAATTCGAGACATTTTCGGCAATAGTTTGCAACAAAACTATTTCCCCAATGACCCGCAAATTGCGTTAGGCTATCAGTGCGTCGTACGTGCGAATTTCGATTTTGCCTTTGTCTCGCATTGCAAAGGGATTGGAGCAATAGTCGATTACTCACGAATGAGTAATAATTTCGAATGTAAGTTTGTGGGCTTTGCTGAAAGAGCGGGTTCCGGAGTGTCGATGCTGCGCTTAGCAATTAGTGCAACCTTGCCGTCCAGTCTGGGAGCCAGTGATGACGAAATATATCGATATTGTTAAACTACTTAACCACTAACCAAGAACTACATTTGCTAACTATGTTTGTACTAGAGCATATTATTGTGTCAACATTTATATATTAATACGATAAATATGGGTATGAATAAATATGTCTCAGGTCAGATAAAAGTAATGCGAAGTAAAAAGAATGAAGCTGGATTGTGTTACAAATATGACTGAATAATGGACCACCGTAGCCTTTGGCAGATGCCACATTGTGACGACTCGGTTATCGTTTTTTCTTCAGTGGCATGAGCCGTAGGTTCGAACCTCTCCTGTGTATATGTGTAACGAGTTATTAAATCCTGTGCATAGCGTATTTATAAATAAGTAAATAAAATGAAATAAAAATAAAAAAGAAACTCTATAGACTGCTGTCTCTTTCCGTAACATAAGTTATATATCATCTGTCTTAATCACTTAAATCCATGCTAATATTATAAATGCGAAAGTAATTCTGTCTGTCTGTCTCGCTTTCATGCCAAAACTACTAAACCGATTTAAATGAAATTTGGCACACAGATAGTATAGAGCCCGAGAAAGGACATTTTTAAAATTTTTTCATTGGAAAAAGTGTTCTAAACGGTTGAAAGGTTAAAGATAGATATTTATTTAAGGACTTCAACGCGAGCGAAGCCGCCGGCGAAAAGCTAGTATCTCATATAATTATCTAAAGCGGAATAATTTTTAAACGCCGCACAGTATGGACATACGTCATCTTGTTACAATTGATAAATTGAAATCCTTGGATTATCGATGTTAGTACTCTATAGTTATAGAAGATTTATAATGTAACATTAAGAAATGTAAGCAATTCTATATTCAAAGTATATATGCCATAATCCAACAAAATATAAATAAGAGAAAATGCTGTACATTGCATAATTTATAACAGAAAAAATTTGTTGATATACCAAAGGATTTTATTTCACAAAATACTTTCTTAAGAGGTGGTGACGCATCTGCAACGGATGTTGCAAATGCTCATGGACGATGGTTATCACTTACCATCAGGTGAACAGCTCGTTTGCCACCTTCTCACATAAAAGAACCAGCCAAGTGTGAGTCTATAAAAACGGCAAAAAAAAATCATCTGTTTTATAGGAGCATCACTTCAATATTTTTTTATTCTGTTTTTTATTTTGTTGTTATAGAGACAACAGAAATACATCTGTGAAAATTTCAATTGTCTAAATATCACGGTTCATGAGATACAGCCTAGTGACAGATGGACAGACAGACAGCAGAGTGTTAGTAATAGAGTCCCGTTTTACCCTTTGGGTACGGAAACCTATAAAAAATAAAATATGGTCGATAGCGCTGTTAAAACGTCTATATCTGTCACAGACGAAGGAGTCTCAGTAAAGGACTTTTTACTACTAAGGTCTCACTCATAAGGTCCCGTTTTACTCTTTGGGTACTGAACCCTTAAAAAGATAAAATTAATTAATTATTTCAAATAATATAATGGCTTGCATTCACCTTAAAGTTATTTCTGTAACATAATAAAGAATTGGATCGCGATATATGTATACAGCGTGTCTTTACCACCACGACAATAAATGAACACACGTCTAACGCTGGTTGCCAATAATCATAAAAAAACATTGTCGTTAAAAAAATGCATAATTAAAAAAATATTTTTCAAACAAACTAAGTACAAAAGAAACAAAATTTGTAACTATCCTATACAACTACATCTGACTGATTCATACATTCAGAGACTTTTTCATTCGTTGCCACAGCGCCGCATTACAAGCCTCTCCTTCTAACAGTATGTTTTGTCTCTTTTAAATTCATTCAACCCATTCATATGCTTTGTGACCTTTACAAATAAACTTTACATTAAAGTTTTATACGTAAGGCTGTTCTAAAATTTTTTGTTTTGGAAAATTTGATAACTCGTTAAATATTAATGTTTAAAGAATGTAAATCTTTAATACAATTTTAAAAAGTTATCCTTTATATGTGTGTTCATTTATTGTCGCGATGGTAAAGACACGCTGTATAAATATTATATAGTTTGGTTGATGTGAGCTAATTATAATAACTTCATAATTATGTTAAACACATATGATATACTTCAATAATTACATCTACTCTTGAATAACGGTTAAACTAATATTTGTATCTCATATTTACACGATTGTCAAACAACGTTGTAAAAATAACATAAAATCATTGATGGACGGTCTTTATCGTAAAACAAATACTTTTCAAACATTTAAATAGGCACGTAAGCAATACATCTGTGGAGATATAAGTAATTTAATCAATTCGTCGTTATTACTTCGCAAGCGTTGCGTGAGCATGCAATAATAAGTAAAACACAAACAAAAATTTGCATAACCATTTATTCCGATCACGTATTGGCACTCGAGCAAGTAAACCTATGCGCGACGTGTAAAGCTCCTGGACTACACGGTTACCGAGAATATTTCAACTATTTAATGCCTGTCATAGAGCACTCATGTGTAGTCGCGAATGCGCGCGCTTACAGCACGCACCTCAATATTGGATAATTAAGTCGGATTATGAAGCGGGACCCCGTTTTCGTGTGTGAAAAAATAAAAAAAAAATTTGAAGTGTTCATCTGTATTTTATCTGTGAACAGAGTGCTATTCGAACAATGTTGATTTTCGTGTTAGTGATTTTGGCGGGAAACGCTGTCAGATGCGACGACGCGAGGTATTTTTTTTTTAATTTAGTTGTTAGATTTAACGTTTGTTTTTTATCCTTTTTCGTACGTGTAAATCGCACGTTATTCGATCTATACAGATTAAATAAAACAATGTGTTGCGAAAATAACAACCGTGCAATGTTTGTAAACAAGATTCTGCTGAGACGCTGCGACAGTTTTACGGAAACTTTGACGCGTGCTGTTTTAAATTCAATAAATATTAAATTACCTTGACATAAAGCGTACGACATTTTTGTGTCACCAGCGTTTACTTTTCAAATGCTCGTGTGAGTTTATTTTTCAAATTTAAAAATAAATCACAGTCTAGGTAATTTCTTATTAATTATTTACCTATGTTAAAAAAATATTAGAAAATTATTCATTGCTTCTATTTATTACACAAAGCAATGATAATTTTTATAAGTAATTTTGGCCATCGTTAATTCTAAAGAAAATATCTTTGTTATGCTTTCATTATATAAAACTTTCATCGTCCCACAAATTTATTGAAAATTTTCTAACTAATTTCTTTATCTTATCAAATTGAAAATAATGCAGACAACTTTTCCGGAAATGCGAAGAAAGTGGGGTAAGTATAACTAGTTCATATTCTGAGATGTTTGTTTATAATAAAAGTTGTCATAGAATAGTTGTTCATTGCACACTAGCAAATTTAAAAAAATCTTTTACTGAGAAGACCGTGTCAAATATAATCAAAAATCACAGGATAGAGAAAAGTTTGATTCTAGAAAATTATTAAAAATATTTTCAGTATAAGTTACTCGTAGTAACGTAGCCAATAAGTTTTGGTGTTCAAATGTGATAATGTGATTAATAATTTATCGGTAAACTCATTAAATATAGGTTAAATATAACATAAACTTAGAAGTAAGCGCTAATTTAACGACGCGGTTTTCGTTTTGATCTTTGTATGGAATATATTTTTTGATTCCATTATATTTATAAATGAAACTAGCTTACGCGCGTGACTTCGTTCGAATATGAAACAAAATTTAAATTAAAGCTTAAATGTCATTCTTTCTTTACAAATATTTATTTTAATTTGCTCTCGATGATTTAAGATGTCGAATTGAAACGTAAATGAAAATTCAAGTTAAAATTGTTATAAACTGCTGAGTACTGTTAGACTCTCGTTGAGAAAAACATTCAGACGATCAACTAAAGAAAAGTAATAATGATTAGGCCTAGTATAAATAGCAGTATTGAGATAAATATACGCAATTATTTCGAAATATTAATAGTTTTTTGATAGATGCCCCTATGAATATGATTTTTATCGTCAACCTACGTGTAACAAGACACAAAGAGGCGCCAATTAGTGATTAATTTTTGTCACCAACTTTTAAGAAAACTGTTAGAAATAGATCTTCGAGGCCGAATCTTTTAAATGGCTAATTTAATGCCACTTAACTGTTGTTTGGCGTCTCTGAGTGCTAATCGTACCCTATCAACACTATCACGTTGCGGTGTAACTGTAACCGTGATGTTGTTTATCAATGTCTGTGGTGATCGATTGCAGGCCTGCGCATAAGGTTCCGCCGTTTTGTTTGGGCCGGAAGTAGACGGGACGTAACAGCGTATCTTATTATTTAACGGATTATTGGGTATTAGAATTTGTGTAATAATTTTGAACCGACTTCAAACAGGAAACTAAAAACATTGTCAACATCTATAACATTTGAGGATTACCCTCGACTTCTCTGGGATACCATCATCAGATCTGGGTTTCCTTATCATGGTACCACACTTGGGATATCTCCTTTCCAACAAAACAAGAATCATCAAAATCGGTTTATAAATGACGAAGTTATCCCCGAACACACATAAAACAAATATTATACGGTCGAATTGAGAAAACTCCTCCTTTTTTGAAGTCGGTTAAAAAGTAAGAAAAGATCGTCACCGCTATGGGAATCGAACCCACTTTCGAACGAACTTCGCTTTAGCCACTAACACTAAGCTAAACGGGTATTTCAGGTCCAATCTCGAGATTTGTCCCATTATAAGGCGATTGTTTCTTTGCAACTGAAAAACCGTGGCCCCCCTTGCCTCTTGCGTCAGAGGGTGTGGGTTCGATCCCAACTACAGGAAAAAGTATTATAAAGTATTATGTTATTGCCGTTTCTGGGTGTTAATTTGAATTTATTTACAAAGAAAAGTATGTTTAACTATGTTTATCAGTTATCTAGTACCCATTGTACAGGCGTTGCTTAGTTTGTGACTGGAAAACGTTGTAAAATAGTGTCTTGTCCTGTCCTGAACCCTGCTCTACTTTAGGATAAGGTAAGATTTATAATATTTAGGTGAGATTTAAATAATGACAGATGCCACGGTCCGATAGAATTAACGGCCATTACGAATACTTGTCCCAGGTGGGAATCGAACATGCGAAAGTGCCGAAGTCTGTCGCTTAGCCACTGCGTCTAGAGTAATCAAATTTCATTGCTACCACTCATCTGGTTCTGCTCTTGCACGAAGTGGCAGGCTCGTCCGGACAAGTGCCACGGCCTGATAGAAGATCAGCGTGCTGCGGAAGTATACTTTTACGTTTCGTATGGAGAGTGAGGTAACCAGGGCCCACTTTTACAAAAGATGTCAACGAATGCCGCCACCCATGCGCGTTGACTCTACATTAGATGAACCGCCTAATTGTTTGATATTTGTTCATATAAAAAAATAATGAGAATCCTAGGATTGAACATGTGAAAACCGCTTTTCCCTTTTACTTCGAATCAATAAAATTCTCAAGATGAAAAACAACACACAATAAACAGAGAAATAGGTGACAAAAAAGTATTTTTAATTAACAACTCGAAGAGACAAAAGCTTTTTCTTTGTTGTTTGTAATACGACAGTTGCGTTCAAATCTTTTTCATAAATGTTCATTTAGCGGGTTCTAGTATTAAAACTTAGTACAGTAATCTCGAAAAGTAACGATATAATTACATTATCAATAATCATACAACTTGTAATAATATACGCCTATTAGAAGAAACGATGTTTTCTGTTTCAAATATAATTTACATATTAACGTGAAGCAAAAACTTTGTACCCCATTTTACGAAAATTGCGCGGACAGAGGAGTACGAAATTTCCCAAACTTACTCCTATAGCTTATATAGAGACGGAGTGCAGAATGGTAATAATTTTTAAAATTACTTAAAAAATATACATTAAATCAATAATAAAACATTGCCCACAATACCATGTACTATAGTTAAATATGGTTGAATTTTGAGCACTGGGCGACCACTAGTTCTAATAAATATATTTTAGTAATTATCTATTCGTATCCCACGTTGGTACGGAACCCGTGGATCGTAAAACGGCTCCTACTTGTCCGGTTATTGTTTTCTTATGCCGTCATTATTTCAAACAGATCATTGTCCTCTTTTGCTTGCTTTAAAAGTCTCTTTTAAGTCTTCAGCAATTGAGACTAATTTCGTGGCATTCTAATCGGTTGGCGGTATGCCATAAAGTTCCGAGTCACGTGGAGTTGGCACGGCCAACGTATTTTACGTAAATACAACGACCCCTACGTAAATAAATACAATGTACTTAAAAAATAAAATAAAATAAATATTTTTAGGACACATTTTTACACAACGTTCTTTAGTCCCAAATTAAGTATCGCTTGTACTATGGAAATGGATACTACATAACTGATAAACACACATAAAAATACTTTTCTTTTGTAAATAAATACATATTATACACCTATAAATAACCGGACACTAAAAAGAACAATATGTTCATCACACAATATTTTTCCAGTAGCCTTACTATTGAACCCATACCCTCTGACGCAGGAGGCAGGTACACTACCCACTACGCCTTTCGGGTCATTATAAAAAGTACAGATAAGATGTTCCCTACCAACGTAGCTGACGCTTTATTTGATGACGTGACACTAATGTCCAGTTGACGCTTTCGTCAAACCGTACTTCAGCAAATTGGGCTCAAGACCCGATTTCGGCACGAGAAAATTATTAATTGCTAAGCATTGAGCCCTTATCCTGAGCCTGAGCATTGAGCCATAGCTCAGTGTTCGGCCGTTCGCTTGTAATTCAGCATAGTCGAGCGACCTGAGCACGAAACCCAATTAAATTGCTAATTTTAATCTCGACGGTGATGGAAAACACCGCGAGGAAACCCGCGTATTTTCGAAATAACAACTAAAATATTTTATTTCGATAATATAATATAAGGCGATAATATATAAAGTCCGCAAATTCACAGTGGGGTCGCGTGTTCCACTATGTCCTAATACCCCTGTACAAAAAAGGCCTTTGCTAAGCACTGGAACATGTATAGGCTGTTTACTTTAAGTATTTACTTAGATTGGGTGAAAGTCTCACAGACGACCGCCATTTTTCTATTATTTTTACGTGAGAATTTCGCAAACGAACAGGTTATTCACCTGATGTTAAATGATACTTGCCAATTGTTATTTGCAAAACCCACAGCATCACACACCTTTCTTCTATGAGGCCCTGGTACTGCTACGGATGAGCCTGCCCATTTGTGCAACAACAATAGCTGCATGGTCCTATCACTGTAAATGAAAAAATAAACCGGCCAAGTGCGAGTCGGACTCACCGGTACCATTATCTATAAAAACGACAATAAAAATTATGTCTGTAGTATGGGAGACCCACTTAAATATTTTTGTTCTTTAGTATTTGTTATTATAGCGGCAACAGAAATACATCATCTGTGACAATTTTAACTGTCTAACTATCTAGCCTGGTGACAAACAGACAGACAGAGAGCAGAGTGTTAGTAATAGAGTCCCGTTTTACCCTTTGGGTACGGAAACCTAAATATAAAAAATTAAATATGGTTGATAGTGCAATTAGAAAATCTTTATAATGTCATTCATTATAATGTCATTCCATACTAGAACAATGGTAATTGCCGGGGGTAAGAGCTTGGCCCGTATTACAATTTGTTCTCCGCTGTCAGACAACCCGTGCAAAGTAACAAA